TGCTGGTTTGCTGCTTGGTCATATTGAATTTATCAGGTGCTGCGAAACAGTTGTTCCCTGTTGCCGTTATTGGGGCAATTTCATGCTTTTGAAAAAGCGAAACATTACCGTACGTTATCTTTGTTCATTTCTTCGTGTTTTTTATTTTTATTATTTTTATTATTTTTGAGCTTGCCAAGCTTATGGCAACGTGCGCTTTTGTGCTCGGAAACAGCTAATACCTAAGGAAACTAAAGATTTCGTTAACCCATGCACACTATATGACAGACACACGTATAGTCCATATATATATATAGTATATATATATATATATATCATATAAGTGGATTCGCGCATTCGCTTAGTATAGTCATAGGGCAAAGTCTTTGCACTTGATTTGATTTGTTGTCATCGGGTTCGACGTCGCGTCGTTGTAAACTTTCTTAATGCTGCTGTTGTTGTTGTCTTTCTTTGTTTTATAATATTGTTCAAGTATTTGTTGTTGTATTTTTCTGTTCTATATAATTATTTGTTGTTTAGTTGCCGAGTGTGCTAAATATGTTGTTGCTGTTGCCGCTACTGACGCGTTATCGAGCTTCTGTTTTTGCTTTTGTTAATGGGCATTTAAATATGTTAAAAGATAACGCACATTCAAACAACTCATTTTTTATGGACTCAAATATATATTTATTGCATTCATTGCAACTGATTAGCGCCTTAAAATCTGGCTTAACCTGGACGATGCGTTTGCCTTATCTTCGTTGCGAGTTTATAACGGCTGTGGCTTAGTTTTTTACATCTAATTATATATAAATATATATATGTAATATATATAATTTATAAAAATAAATATTAGTAAATCAAAAATATTATTAAAAAAAAATAAATAAAAAAATATTAAAAATACGTAATAAATAAATAAACAAAATATTAATAGTGAAATAAGTTAAGAAATATTAAATTATAAAACACAATTTTTATTCTAAGTAAATTGACAATTATTGTTTATAAATAAAGACAGTCCAGAAAAGTGCATAAAAATTGTAGGTATTTAACAAATAGTTATAAGAGTGTTAACAGCTATGTCAAAAAAAATGTCAAGTAAATATCAAAAACTAACTAAAAGTAAATGAATAAAGAAATAAAAAAATATATATAGAAAATTGAATTTTTTAAAAGTTATTTAAAATATATATAAAATATTATTTTTACTTTTTTTAGTTTTACTAAGAAAGATGCAATCATTTATACTTAGTTTAAAATAAATATTAAGATTTTTGTATTGTAATGAAATATAAATATTATTAAGATAAATTATTTTTATAAAAAAATAATATAAATATATAATTGTAATTATATAAATGTAAATTATAATTATAATTATATTACTTTGTCTCATCAACTTATCCTTCACTTAATTTATTTATAGAAAAGTTTTTATATATTCGCTTTAACAACATATATAAAAACTAGGCCTAGAGCCGACCAAATTTGATAGAGTATTGTGTATGTCAAGGCTTGGATATAGTTGGACGACATACATAAGTGCTTTCAAATTGATGGCATATCTAAGTTAGAAAGTCAAAGTGTTCAGTTCGTAGAGCCTGACTGGAAAGCATAGAATCTATTTCAGTGCGTATTATCAGAAACGGAATATTTAACACAAGCTAAGCGGGTGCTCCAATTTAGATAAGCGAGCAACTATGCCAAGCACAAATGCTGTTCCGCATTACGTGTTCCAGGCGGCGCTGCGCCTTATAAGAATTTATTTTGGTTTGCACTTTGCACAGCTCAGCAAATCGTTCCATTCATAAAGGAAACAGTCGCCGGCAATTAAGGTCTTCAGCTTCTCAGCTATTGGGGGCTGTTAATAAAATATATTCGCGAAATCGTATGATGTACTTTGGATTGACAGCGCTTGACTTTCGATTCGATTAAGGTATAATGAGACAGTATGAGAAAGTATAGAGCACAATTATACGTTACAAATACAGCTTAAGTGTTTGATCAGTGACTTGACAATGTGTAAATCTAAGTAGGCAGCGCTCGCTAGCCTTTGAACGCCAGCACTTCGATGACGGCATACAGAATCTTTGACCAATAGAAAAGTTCTGAATATTCTCTGGCCGAAGCAATGTAAAACTTAACGCCCTGACATATATTCAATAGCCAACAGGTGGTTCACCAAATCAAATAAGTTGATGGGATGTGATGTTTTCTTTTTGGTGGAGAAAATCTCTGAGTCACTTCTGAGCTTGCGCGAGGGGCTAAAGTTTTTAAAGCATTGCGGATTGGATTGGAAAATGATTGGGCATTGATCGACTGACTAAAAGTGCTTGACTGTAAGACTGACTGATTGATTGACTGAGTGATTAACTGACTAACGAAGTGGCTGGTTGACTGATTAATTTATGGAAGCGCATACGGATTGCTGTTGACCTGTTGATTGACTAGCTTGATTGAATAAAAGAATTGACAAACTCATTGATTGATCGATTGCTTGACTGGTTACCTGACTGACTGATTGATTAACGAATTTAGTGATTGCTTGATTGATTGTATGCTTGACCGACGGAAAGACTGACTGTAGGGGTGACTTAGGGATTGATTGATTGACTAACTGCCCAAATGGTTTACTGACTGACTGAAATACAGACTAGCTGACCGATTGACTGACGGACAAAAGCTCCAAAAGACTAACTGATTGGCAAATTTCCAATTTATTTTTTAAAAAGATTTTTTTAAAGTTCATTTTAGTCACACATTTTTACCAATAGCCAGAAAATTGGGTAATAAAACTGCATGACATATGACTTTCTAGCAAAAAGCTTAAGTTTCTTGTCTTGCGTCGCATCGATATCAACCTCAATTCGAGCCATTTCGGTAAATGTGATATTTAAAATGTATATCAACGAGTGCAAAAATTCCACTTCGATGTCAGAGCATAAAAGTCGCTCTGAAGGTATTTACACTTATTTTAATGTATGTATAAGTATGTATGTTTGAATGTTTGTCTTTGCATTATCTTATGCGATACGCTAATCAATTTAATAACTTACTTTTTGATAACTGCTAAATAAATAAAAATGTATTACAACAAAACAGCCTACTTGGCGATTCTCGTGAATTTTACTTTCAACTTTTATTTTCGTTTATCTTATTTTAAAAAAAATGATGGAACGATCTCATTAAGTTGCTCTCTCCCTCTCTCGTTAATATTATTACTTTAGTTTAATTATTTAAGGAATATATTTCTTGAATAAACAGCAAATAAACATTGATTGCAATTCATTAACAAGTTATATATCATAGGAAACGTTGTAGCTGCCTGCTTCATATTATCTTTTAGCAAAGTTTGGACTTTGATACAACTTTTGCTTGGTATTATTATCAATAGAATTTAATGTTTGTAGCATAAAAATCTATTTGACTAATAAATTCCTTAAATTATTTATATAATTTATTAAAATTATAAATATTTGTGAGTAAAAAATATACATCTTGACAGAATTGTGCAGTTAGCCATTTAAAGCTTAACCTTAACAAGGTCATACAGATGAACTGTCGCCGCAATCAGAGACCTTTTTGGTTAACGAATTCATGCGTGAAATAAAACTAAGCTAAGGCCACTCACGTAAAATTGACATTAAAATTAAATCTTATATATAACTCAATGATTTATTAGCTTAAATTGTGTTGTGCCATAATGTTACGGAGATCTGTTGAGCATGATATGTACACGGTGCGTGTGCGTAATGTAATGTAAATTATATAAAACTTCCTGAAATTCTTCCGTGCTTATCGTTCACGTAAGTTTATTAGTAATCAATCAACAAGCTATTAACTCTATCTTTATGGTCTAATTTTTGTGAAATTCTCTTGTTGTTTTTGTTTATTTTTATGGCAACAATAATTTAGATAAGTGACAACGCGAAAATAATTGATAAAGACTTTAAAATATTAGCAAATTAGTATATAAATTTTTCCTTTTTTTGCCACTGATGCACAATTGAGCAATTGCAGAATTGCAGAAGCGAAGAACGAAAGCGTTGAACTTCAACTGAATGCCCTTGGGCAAGCCAATGAAAATAAAGAAAGGTAAGAATTTCATATATTTCAATGCCACAATCAGCAACCAGCGCTATGACAACTTCACTTATCAGCAACTGCCAAAACTTGGTTCAGCTCGCCAAAGTCCACAGTAGAAGGCCCCCAATGGTAGCTGCAATTTATTAATAAATTAAGCACTGCTGATAGCGCCTAGCACCTTATTGCTTGGCCAATGAAACGTGTAATTGCGATTGGTTTATTGTTTTTATTATCGAAGAAAAAAGTAAAAACAAACAAACAAAATATAAAACTAATTTTGAATAATTTAGTGAATTGTATTTTTGAGTTTTTACAAATTATATGTGACTAGAATTTATCTAATATTTCTTTTTCTTTAATACTATACAATGTTTTTAATCTATATAAATTTTATTTATAAATTTATATCCTTTTTGTTTTCAGAATACTTAATATAAATAAAAAAATATAAAATTAATAATAAAATTTCAAAAGCAATATGACAATATATAAATAAATATATTAATAATAACACATAATAATAATTAATCATACATATATAAAAAGAAAATACAAAATATATGAAAATAATAAAAATAACACTTTCATAATCGTTTAATTATATAAATAATTAACTTAAATAAAAATTATTATTTAAATACATTAATCACTTAATTCCGCGCACTAAAAACTAAATTTGAAACGCCAAAAAGCTTCAACTGCAGAAAAAACGACAAAAAAATACTGCTAAGCTCAGCTAAAGCCAAACGAAATCAAAATACAACCAAAAGCGCTCAGCGAAACTTAAAAATAAAGCTTGCGTATGTTTGCACTTGAAAGCAAAGCTTTGCCTTGAATAAGTTGGCAGCGCCGCACAGAGAGCGAACGAAGCTTTTTATCGTCATTATTGAAGTATCGCAGCTGCTGTTGTTGTTGTATGTATCTCTTTTTGTGTTTCTGCTGCTGTTTGCTTCTTTTACATATTTTGCCAAGCTTGAGTTGGCCCGTTAATTAATTTCATAAGCTCGCTCGCAAGCTTCCAACTCAGAGTCGTTTTAACCGCGCTACCAATTGGACGTCAATTGTCGCGCTACGCGTTCTTAACATATCCCGACTATTGCCGTTTCGCCGCTTCGCCGTCTCGCCGCGTCCTGCCCAAATACCTTACAACCCGCAGCCTTTGTACACACGGTTTGTGTGTTCGTGTGTGTGTGTTCGTGCGTGTATTAAGCTTGCAAAATCTTTGTAAAGAGAAACGTGAAATCACTTTTTTTGGCCCATTGCCAATTTTGTTTCATTTTTATTTTTAATATTCAAGTGAAACAGTGTGAATTTTAAGCAATTGTTGCGGTAAGTTGAGCTCAGGTCAGTTTTGACTACCAGTACGCAGCAATGTTGTTGTTGCTACTGCTGCTGTTGTTGTTGTTGTTGTTAGTTATGCGCATGTGCGGCAGCGTTGACACACTTTCTGCCTTCGCCTGCAACAACAGGCAGCCGCCATAAGTCTGGCCTGGCATTCAAGTGCCGCTCGAACGGATTGGCAATAAAAACAATTACCACTTGCCTGCTGCTGCTGCTGCTGCCTGCAGCATTTCGTCAGAGATTCCATCTAGCCGCCCATTCATAATCAGCACCATCAGCTGCTGCTGCTAAAACATTCAGCTTCCATTTGCCTGTAATGTATTTACATAAATACATTAAATGCCTTTGAAGGTCTAAATGCCACGATAAGTCGATAATATCTTGAACTACTACACTGAGCGAAAAGGCGCAATTAACAGACATTGTAATGGCCATGAAAGTAAAATTGAAAGCTTGAATTTAATTACATGCTTGTAATCTTACTTTGGCATTTCATTTTCTTTATAGCGTAGATTTGTTGTTGATATATTTACTGTACTTATAAGCGGGTAGATCTGCCGTAGCATAGCGTCGTCTTTATATGGACTTCTTTAGTTTAGGGAACTCGAAAAAGTCACAGGTATAAATATGGTCTTTGCGGGCTCATTAGTGATTTCATTTTAGCCAAGATTGGAATACAGATTCTTTGCTTCATTTTTTAGAATATTCACAAATCAAACCTATCGAAAATGACTTGACGGAGCTTGTTAGCATAAGTGAGCGGCATGAATAAAAATAGAATACCAATCGAATATCGAATATCGAATAACGAATATATATATTTCATATAAATATATTTCAACTGCAGAAATTCTACATCCTCGTCAAATCATCTATGATCAGTAACCAATCAGAGTTCACGAGTTCAAATCTAACTTTCTGTTCTTTATTTATGAAACTATATATTCGCTTCAAAGTTAGCTTACTGAAACTATATATATATATATATATATATATATATATATATATATATATATATATATATATATCTTTCTTTTATTTTTTTATTTGCGTTCTACTGAACCTAGCATTAAAATATAATATCCTACAATATCTTAAGCTTGAAATATATTTTTAGAGTTATGTATCTGGAAGGTAAATGGAATTAGTAATAGTTATTCTGTGTAATGTTTACTTAAGAATCACATATTATTTGAAGTGATCTAAAGTACAAATCGTAAAAATAACTGCAAAATTCCTTAATCATTTGCAATTTGAGTTAGCGAAATTGGCTGAGAATGTTTATAACTGAGTGAACAATCATTTTTAAAGCCAGTGTTTGGCTAAGTGCAAGTGCAAATGGGAAGGGCAGAGGTTGATTCTGACTTTTATTCAAACTGGGATTTGAGCCTGGGCCGAGTGTTGTTGTTTATTTAAGGGTTAAGTGTTAATTTGAATGAGTCAAGCAGAGGTCGATACTAATATTGATATATATATGTATATATATATATATATATATATATATATATATATATATATATATATATATATATATATATATATATATATATATATATATATATATATATATATATATATATATATATATATATATATATGTATATAAACTGGAATTTGAGCCTGCATCTTGATTGATAATAAAAAGAGTTATTCGTCAAAGAGTGTTGCTGTCAATAAATGTTCACATTGAGTTGTATCTGTATCTGTATCTGTGTCTGTATCTGTATCTGTATTGGAGCATGGTATATGGTCTGTTATATGACATACAAACGAAGTTCAACTCGTTGTTATTGTGGCATATGCTCATATAGGCATTAACTTTGAGTTGTCCCTTTGTCAGTGTGTTAATTGAAGGTTGTTGAGCCCGATACGCATTGCTTTTGATTGCATACAATTTGCAGTTTGCCCGACTATTTGCACTCGCAATTGTACGATCTACCTTATGTGTTATTGCTGATTCATGGGATTTGCGTACGATGGCCTTATAAACATATTACACCAGCCAAATGGTCAGGCATTTGTGCTAATGACACCGAAACATTGCGATCTAGCCGATTCGATTTGTGTTTGGCTTAACAATTTTAGGCTCCCTCAACACAATATCAACTGCTGAAAACTGATGGCCTTGATGACTCGACGACTTTGTATACTGAAACAGCCGAGATGCAGTCAACTTCTGAACAGCATACTAAAAATCTGTAAATAAAACTGGAAACCAGTTAAACATCTTTGATACTCACTAAGATTTCGGCTGTGTACAGGTCTTTCTATAACTGCCTATGTGTGCGGCCTTTTAGCCATTTGGTTTGTCAAGTGTAGGCTGCAAAAATGATACAAAACACAAAAATCGAACAAAAGCCGTTATTGAATTTTCGGCATTTGTATAGATGCGAATCGCAGATTTGCGTGTGTCGATCCGTACTTGAACTGAAGGCGAGCCTAATATATAGTATGTATGTCGTTACCAGTGATTGACAGCTTGAATAAGTCGAAACCGGCTTTGCCAGATTCTAGAGCACGATTTCTTGGCCGGCTCTACGTTTTATGATATTACGTTTCTATGCAAATTCTTTGAGCAATTTCAAGTGGCAAATACTTGTGACTCGAGTATGCAATTTGAAGTCTCTACATGAAAAGATCAAAGTTATTTTGTCAAATTATTTAAAATGCATTACTTCGCGGAAAAGAATTGTGCATAAGGAGCTGATATAAAGAGTGAGGCAGAAGGATAGTGGGAGAGAAACGGAGATAGCGAAAGAAATAAAGATAGAGATAGAATGTTATAAAGAAAGAGAGGTAGAGAATCAGTGAGGATGGGGGAGGACGGGAGAGAGACGGAAAGGAAGATATAGAGAGAAGGAAGCGGATGAAAGCCAGGAAGAAAGAGAACGAGAGAGTGATAGAAGGAGAACGAGAGGAAACCAAGAAAAAAGGAAAGAGAGAAAGGAAGAAAAAGCGAGAGATAAAGATGTCGATGATGAGAAATAGAAAGAAGGAGAAATAAAGAAAGTGAGGAAGAAAAGAGTAAGCGAGACAGAAGGAAAGATAGAGATAGAGAAGGCGAGAGGAAAAGATGGATAGAATGAAACTAGAGATAGAAATACAGGGAGAAAAGGAAAGGAAAAATATGAGGACAAAGATTAAAGTATGTAAAATGGGAGAGAGGTAAGCATAGAGGTAGATAGAGCTTAAGATAGGCAAAGATATTTATTTAAACTATATTTAAACAGTTAAACAGTTAAATAGTTTTTCATATCCTCCGCCCATGTTGACAGTTAAAAGTTTCTCCAAATATCAGCTATCAAATCATCTTAGTCAGGATGACTTGCTTTAATCTAGCCATCGGCGCGCTGATCTTATGTCCATCAAGTGACTGTGAGTTTGAATTTCTGCAACGTCAGCTTGAGCTGGGCTTAAGGTTTCCTTCGGCTGCTTAAAATTAGCTGACAAATAAATATTTAATATTTAATATAAATAACAAACCTTCATGGTCACTTTGCTTTTGCTCTCATAGCAGTTTGTTCTGACCTTGTTATTCTTTTTTTTCACTTTTCGTACGTGATAATTTTATGGAGAGTGTTTTAATTCTAGGAAAGTTACGAACATATTCATATCTTGTGTGACTGGTCTGCTTATTACCTTTCATTATTTTGGAATAATTATACACGGAATACTGCCTTTCTCCTATTCAAATAAACACTCTTTGTCTTAGGCTGAAAGTGAATTTGAATAATATTGTTAATTTTTTAAAGTCGACTTGTGAATTTGATGAGATCATGCTGCTAATATTATGTAAGAACAGTATACTCTTTGGATACAAAATACATTTTAAATAAAAAATTTAGAGATAAAGTTCTGTATAAGTATCTGAGTTCTTTAGATAATAAGGTAATAATATCTCGAGTTTCCTTTTCAATTCTTTATCTTACTGAAACAAATAATAAAATAATTTCACAATTGGCATACTTATTCGCCGAGATCACCTTTTATATTATACTGAATTACCTTTGAGAAGCACAATAAAAGAATAACTTATTCATAGAATCTATGCAATAACAAAATATTATTGTTTAATTGTAAATTGTTATAGTCTATAATGATATGTCTAAAGCCTTTGCGCTTTGTAATATCAGCTACTTCAAGCGACTACAAAGTTCAGCTGGGGATAAGCCCCAACAAATAATGAACTTAATTTGCATTTTGCACACTCATTTCTGACCGCTGGTAATTGTGAGTAATTGCTAACAGTGTTAAGATAAATAGAAAACAAGTAAGAAAGCTACGGACGGGCACCCACGACTGTCGAATACTCGTTCACGTTTAACTATTGAATCTTTTTTGTTAAGTCTTTAGAGAAAAACTTTGAAAACTTTAAAAGATATATGATATATCTATGATATATTTAATTTTTGATGAATTCTTTGACGAACTCTACTTTTGATATCCCAGCTTTAAAGCTATCGAAGACACAGTTCTACACAATATGCCTTGCGAACCCAGTGGGTACAGCTAAATCTACTTTATATTTTAGTTAAATACAATTTTCAGATAGATTAGTTCCCAATTCATCAAACCCCTTTATACGTCTTTATAGAACAAGGATGCCAAGGTATATATGTTTCTAATTTCAAGTCAATAGCTTCAGTAGATAAACGAATCAATCTACTCTTTTCACCTATGAACGAGCATAAATACGATATGAGTGTTATATTTCTAATGTTTATACACACATACAGCCATCCATGCAGGTTACTCTACACACCTGTCATCAGAATCTTTGGTTTACAGTATCACAAAATTGTTTTCACGTTTATTGCAATTAGCTCGTTACGATTTTATGAATGTTCATTATAAAGGCGGAGCTCGTGCAGCTCACACATGAACTGCGACAGCGACTACGACTACGACTACGTCTATATCTACGTCTATATCTCTGAACCGTGCTTAAGCTTATTTATGCACATTGTCAAGTCATTGCCAAGTGGCTGCGCTTATTTGTTCGCCTTTTCACATTTTTTGTTAAGAAACAGTTAGTCTTGTGGGGTCTATAAGATTTTTGTAAAAACAGTAATTTGCATTTAATGGTTGGCTGCCTGATCAATTTCAGTGCTTGATCGGGTTCATTTATGCGTGTCACGCTACGTCTATATATCTCTAGATATCTTTTGTTTTCTCTCTTTCTTTATGACTTTCATGAATATTGAGTGCAGTTTCGAGCAGATCGTGATATGTGCAAATATAATTTTTCTGTTTTTATTGTTTCCCCAGCGCTAATCGGGCTCAAGCGACTGCTGAAGTCAACTATCTTCATAGCTGTTGTGTGCTTAGAAGATAATCGCTTGGACAATTGCACTTACAATCCAAAGATTATGTATATGTGACTTCTATATATATTTTCGTTATATACGCCACTCGATTAAGTATACAAAGTGTATATAAGGCACTTGAATGTGCACCACGCACTACGGTAATCAACACTTGGCTAGAGATGGGTGCGTGAGTCCTTGAAATCTGACTTGACTTCATTGCCAATTCAATTTACCCAAAAAACTTGTAGTCAACGATTATTTAATTTACGCCTTCATTTACATGCTTTTTTTTAGAGTTCGTGTAAACAAAAAATTATAGTAATTGTTGCTTGTTTTGGCTGATTCAAGGGTACAGCTTTAGCTAAGCACCAACAAGTCAAATTATTACATTTCACAATTCGCCAGCAAATTTTAGTGGCAGTTCGAAAAGTTTGCTCTTAAATAGCCAGTTGTTTTAGTCGATGTATATTGAATCTCTTGCAATCTTTGAAACTTTATGTTCTCCAAGTGTAAAAAAGTTCAATAAGCAAAGGCTCTGATTGGCACGTGATTTTAACCAAGTGACTTTTGTGCTAAACGAAGGTCAAAAAAATGTGCATCATATGATCTACAGACTCTATTAAATATGTGGCAAATTAGACAAAATGCAAAGAAAAAATATATCAAGAGAGCCCAATAATTGCCAGTTAGTCGCCGACTACTGAGTGAGTCAGCGATCGCTGCTCGTGCTTAGCTGCAGTTGAGCCCAGACAGTTTCCGAGCGCCAGTCGACTGCGATACGCCTCATTTGCGCTGTAGTTGCACCAGAAATTATACCAAGTAAGGCCAGTGACAATTGCAACAGGAATATTGTGCATAAATTTGTCGCAAATGTATAAATTATTTACTATATGCCAATATCGAGTAGTTTCAGTTGCCTAATTAAAAGTGCTAAAGTATAAATAAGGTAATCTGTTTACCTGTAGACCTTGACTGAGACGGGTTTAATTATTTGTTTATCAGCGAAATAAAAACTGTACTTTATATATTGAGCACAGCCTTGATAAAGGTGAATCAGACCTGAGATGCCAAAGGGCTAAGGAACTTAAAGCCCTGAGCAGTGCAACGAAGGGCGATTGGGTATATTGACTCGTAAGCAGGATATACCTAAAGGAATTTTTAATTAAAGAAATCCATTAAAAATCCATTATACTTAAAATATATTTTTATGGCTACATTCCTTGACTTCCATATTGTCCATAAATGTATGCATTTAAATATGTTCTTCTTCCTTGTTATTTATTAGCATCTTTGTTCTCTGTTTCTTGTTTTGCTGTTAGCAGCGGCATCTTTTCATCAAAACATCATATAAAAATCTAGTTTTTTCTGATTTTATTCACTGAGCGGAACAGAACAAAACCAAAATAAATTGCGAAAGCTTTTGAAATATATATTTTATAATCAGATAGAAAAATACTCCATAACTCTTTAGTTACTCAGGAAGGCATTGCAGCATTTGCTCTGAGAACAAATTTCATATTCATATATATTTTTAAATATATATATATTTTAACAAATTGCTTACAAATTGTTGCTAATAACTTACTTGACAGAGCTTGACAGGCTAATGCTCGAAAATCGGTGCGCCCTGTATATAATTGGCGACGATCAATTTGATTTTCCATAACGGCGCATCATTAGCTTTAATTTTCCTGCCAAGCTTTTGTAATTTACGTGACACTTTGCATGTGGCTAATTGGTAAACACATTTGTGTCACGATTCACAAATCAAGTTGGCTGCACGCTGCATTACTGTCTTAGTTTTATTTATTTTTGTCTGTTTTTATGCTTCTTTATTTTGTTTAGTTCGAGTACCTCACTTTACTTTACATTACTTTATTGTGCAGAAGGTCTAAAGTCAAATTTATGCGCATAACTTTATGGACTGTTGAACTCGCATCAAAGTAAACTCAAATACAAAGCCCATAAATAGAAAAGACAGAGAGAAGCAGAGAGAGAGAGAGCGAGAGAGGCAAAGAAATACCAAAAATTGAATTACAAAAGTTTTGAACCTTTTGTGTGGCCAAACCAGCTGAAAGTACGAGTTGCACGTTGCCTGAATGGTTAAACCACAAACGCAAATATCTGCGGTCTCTATTGATTGCGATCAATGCTCAAATTCAATATTGAATCGGCTTTTGCTCTGCCCTGGCCTTGACTTTTACCTTGAAAATGTCGCATACAAACATATTTACTAATTGCTCCATTGGCCGAGTCGAAAAACGGCTTTTCGATCAGTTAAAATTTAGTTTGATGGGCGCTCTGCCCGCTCGTTCGCCCTCTCACTCACACTCGCTCTCGCTCGCTGTTACTCTCTCTTTTTTTGCGCTCTGCTATGGGTCAAGAGTGGAGCATAAGTCACTACGTCATGCTCTGGCAAGCTTGGGCCTGCTTTTTTGTTGTTAACCAAATCGTTGCCAAGCCGTCTACGTGTAGTCCAAAATAGCCGAAACTCAAAGTAGCTATAAAAAGTATTTCACTCACATCGCAGTCTGAATACTCTATATGGATATAATAATGCGGAAGTTACTGAATGTTTGTGAAGCAGCAGACATAAGAGTTCAGATTAGCATATGGGGTTTATCATGTTATTTATCGGTTGCATGTATATTATAGAGATATATATGATCCTATCACACATAGAACAAGCTTTTCTTGAGCAGAACATTCTTGAAGTAACTGAATAAATTGTTTACATTATATTAAAATGTTAAGAAATTGTTGGATTGTAGTTCATTTCAGTTCATTTTCATATATGTAGACTACATTTATATCATTCAGCTATAATTATACCAAACAACCTAAGCTTAGATCTAATATTTATTGCTACTTTAGGTCTGCTGCACTATGTAAAGCAGTTGAAGGCAGGTTAAAGCTGTTAACATGCAGCTCTGCAGTGCCTGTCAAACCTCATTGCATATTTTGAGCACCTTTGTTGCTAGTGTATTAACGAAAAACCTTAGTGGTTTTTCGGCGTGCGACGTGCGGCTAGTGACGTTGTGAGACCAGTTTTGGTAACATTGTCTATTTGTCGCCCTAGCGTCCGCGGCCCCTTGGCAGTGTCTGTATTTGTGTTTTTTTTTCGTCGTCGGCATCGTCTTCCGTTGTGGGCTTGTTAATGAAGATCAGCATTGAGTCATGTTCGAGCATTGGGCCAAGGCATTGAACCGCTGCGAAGGGGCGGAAGTAACCCAGTTGTGGCAAGCGCTCTATGGCTACAAAAATCATTGACTATACTGAACAGACTTTTATTCTCGATCGCAGCACCAACTAGTGAAGATGGGCAAAGCGGAGTGCATTAGCTATGATGACAATCAGCTGCCATACATTGATCTGGGCAGTGCGCAGATACGCATGGAGAAGGAGCAGGCGCCCGACTGGGCCCTGAAGAAGGCACAAGACGAGTTGCGCGAGCTGCCCGGCATCAAGGAGCAGGCCATCAAGGAGCTGAGAGAGCTGATACAAAGTGACTAACTAGTGAGATTCGGACTAGATGCAGTTTATTTACTTTCACGATTCACAGATGAGAAGCACCTGAACTTGCCGCTGGATGATGAGTACATGATGATGTTTTTGCGTCCTTGCCATTATTATCCTGAGAGTGCGCTGAAGCGCGTAAGTTTTCCCTGGTTATTTGGCTCACATATTTATTATTTATAATATTGTTGTTGCTTGTCTGCAGCTTAAGAACTTTTACAACATGAAACTCAAATACGGCATTGCCTGTGAGAACATTGTGCCCGCCAAGCTGAAAAATGTATTTGAGAGCGAGATTCTTAACCTGCTGCCGAGCAGAGATCAGCATGGCCGTCGCATACTCGTGCTGGAAGCGGGCAGTAAGTACATAACATATATAGAAAGCGTCGTATCTATGCCTAACTCAACTCTTTGCACTCCTATAGAAAAATGGAAGCCGTCGAAGGTGCCGCTGCCGGATCTGTTTCGTGGCATACAGCTCACCGTGCTGGGCTCCATGGTGGAGCCATTTTCTCAAATCTGTGGCGCAGTTGTCATAATTGACATGGAAGGTAATAAAGCGAAGGCTTATTGTGCTATTGTGTTAACGGCACATATTATGCGTTGCATTAGCCCACTTTAGCTAACGGCCCATTAACACCTTTATGTCTCCTCTGTGGCAGGTCTACCTTTGAGCCACATAACACAGTTCACACCATCGTTTGCCGCCATGCTGTTGGATTATGTTCAGGAGTGTATCTGTATGCGCCTGAAGGCTGTTCACATTGTTAACAATTCGTATATCTTCAATATGCTCTTTGCCATATTCAAGCCCTTCATTCGTGAGAAGCTGCGCAAGCGCGTAAGTTGAGAACTTCCACTTAAATGTGCTTAAGCTAATGGCTCTTCTTTGCTGCAGATCTTTTTCCATGGCAAGGACTGGAAGGCGTTAACGTCGCACATTGATGCCAATGCCTTGCCGCCCAAATACGGAGGCACTGCCACATGGGAGCTGCCGCCTGGCCCGCTGCTTGGCGAGTTCTTTGAGTGCTACTCCAAGGACTATGAACGTAAATACCTGTACAGAATATATTCTAAAACTTATAATAATAATAAATTTACCTTTCACAGAGGCCGACAGCTACGGCTATACTGAGGGCTACAAAATGTCAAAGAAATAAGCTGGATATATCTTTCATACCTCATTTTTGTTTGGATCGTATTTTGTATCAATAAGTTGGGTCATTTGTGATATTGCAAATATTGTTGTACCATTGTAATTTGTAGTTATTTGCTCTAGAGTATTCGCACACAACAACGGACACTAAGCTAGGGTTTTTTTGCTAAGGTTTATTGTACTATATAGTTTAAGTATCTGTCTTATGTATAAGTATGCATGTTTGTATACGTTTATTGTAATGTTCGCTGAAGTTAACGTAATAAAAACGAAAATTTTGTTACCTTTTAAACTGATAACTATATTTCTTTCAATTACTATTCTAATGATTTTTAACTGTTATTTGTATATTAAGATACTAAATGATTTCCATGCTAGATCAGCCTGACAGTTAGATCCCAACTGTGCTTAAGTGCCAAGTTGCAAGCAGTGCAACCCACTTGCATATAAGCAGTGTATGAAGTAAGCAGTGCTATTACGACAGATAAGCCAGCAGTATTTGGTAGTTTGATTAGTATTACAGCTGTTTGAGCTGCAGTTTGAGGGTCACAGTGCAAAACTTAAATAGCAAGCAGCGCCAACAAGCAGATCTTATAGGCTGAGTATTCAAGCAGTTTTAAGTGTATCTACAGTTTTAGACGCACAATGCTCAAGATTTTTCAAAAGTAAAAAAACTAATAAAGGTTATGGATAATCGATATGTATTATTGTATTATTGTATTACATTTTATATTGCGTTTTCGATTTTTTTAAATAATTAAGATAATGAAAAATTTATATAAAAGCATACATATATATGTGTATAAAATCTTTAATTCGATAATCAGCTTTAACATTTCAAAATTTTTGGTCATCTTCATTATCCTAACATTTCAAATACCAACATAAACTTATTAATATATGTTTAGATGTATATAGAGTATTCGTAAGTTATGCTTCAATCGAATCATCTCGCAGCTAAATAATCTTTGGCATTGCCACCTATGAATGTGTTTCGGAGTGGAGAGGTGTATATATATATATATTTCTATATATATATAACATATATGTATATATGTATACATATATTATATAAATGTTTTCCTAAACTAATTGGCTATAAACTATTTAAAGCACTAGGACGGCTAGTTGTTCCAGTTTATTTGCTTTAGTCCTGTTTGCTGTCTGTGCCCTCGCGTATGCATATGACCTCGTTGTCATCTGTCTGTGACTTGGTTATCATAGCGGCGGGCGTGGAATTGCGTTCGAGCAACGGCGAGCTGTCTGGTGATTCGCCAGCGCTTTTCTCGCAGACCAAGGTGGATGCCTTGGACTTGAGTTCCTCGGCGCTGGAGAACTGAGAGCGACTCTTGTACTGTCCGTTGCTCTTTTGCTGCGTCTTAACGTCGTACCGACGCGTCTGGCACCAGCTGAGCAGCTGCTGCATGGGCATCCAGAGCAGGAGAATGAGACCAATGGCCAGGCAGATACCCGCAAATATTTGGCCACCCAGCAGCACCGCGGGCAGGAGCTTGAGCTGCTCGGCCAGCTCTGAGGTGATTGTTACCTTCTGCTCGAACCAAATGAGCGGAAAGAAAATGCGCGGAATGTCCGTATACAATTGAATGCCATCGATGGGCTCCACCAGCATGTTGACTTGGAAACGTGCCGCCACCTCGAGCGGAATGCCAGTGCTCGGCTCCACCACCATATAGAACTCGTGGCGTTCCTTATCTGGCTCCAAGCCCTCCACCTGTTCCAAATAGTACGGATCGGCGTTATAGAAATGGGGATAGGACATGAATACGGGTGAGCCGAAGCGGCACGAACTGATGTTCATCACGCCGGAAGGCACGCACTCGCCGCCACAGAAGCACAGATTCTCGGGATAAAGTGTGCCTGAAAAATGATTATTTTTAAATTAGTCTAAAATATTGATAGATATTTGAAGGGGGAATGTCTTGAAATATATATAATTTAAATAAAAAAAATTAAATTTTAAATTGGTTTTCCATGTGGTTTTTTCGATTGTGAACAGTTTTCTTGAGCTTTCGCTTACCATTGTCAACGGAGCGATCGCCGCCCGCGAATTTGTAGCCTTGCAACCCTTCGATTTGCAGCGTTTCCACATAGTCCAACGGCAGGGTGCGGCACATGTCAGGCGTGAAGAGGCCCACACTGCCGCCCGGTTGGGGCTGCTGCGGCTGGAACTCGCCCGCTGAGCCATTGGTCATGCCGCAATAAGAGTCAAAGAAGCCCGTGTGCGTGTGATAGTTCCAGGAGTGCATCTGACCCAGCTGGGAGAGATCGTCGGCGCCAGTGTAAACGTTAAAGACGCCAGTTAGGTCGGCGCTGCCATTACGTGTGTAGAACCAGCCGAACTTGTCGAAGGGCACCTTAACCTCATCCCCAAAGATGGGCATGGCCATGGCGACATCAATCATGGAGTCGCTGTAGCCAGTGAAGAGCATCTCGTCGACCGTTTTCGTCACAGACATCTCCTGGCCATAGAGCTTGAGGCCCACATCGACCATGCCTCGCTTCACAGCGCTCCACTGCTTGGCCGTGGCTGCCGCGGACTGCAAGAGTTGACAGTTGGACAAGTTCATTAGGAGATGGGCGCGTAGCAATACGAACCAGGGCGACTGCATTCAGTGTGGTGATCTCATCGTCCAGGCTGCCCGCACTGCCGGCCGCATCGAAATAGTAGAAGCTGCGCCGGCGGTAGGTAACCGAGCTGTTAGCTGGATGCCAGCTAATGTTGACCTTGTCGGGCTTATCGATGAAGCGATACGGGCCGAGCTGCTGCAGAATGGGCTTGCTGCTCAGGTTGCCGAACTCTTCGGGATTGGTCCAGTTGTACAGGTAGATGTCCAGGTGCAGCTCCATCGGCGGCGTCTTCCAGTTCTCATAGACTCGTGTGTCGGGTGCCAGCGCCATTTCCTGTACAAAGATCAAATCCCAATTGCCATTAATTAAAGAATCTCAACAAGTGTGCATCAATTGAGGCGGCTTGTTTGAGCCACCTGCACGACTCGTCTCTGATTTGCCGTTTGATTGGCGTTAAGCGATTGCAGCTGCGCGCGTCAAGTCGCCTTACCTTATGCTTGAACCAATTGAATATATCCTCCCAGAACATGCCGCACATGATGCCGAACAGTCCAAGGCAGAATCCGAAGATGCCAATGAGCAAGCCACGATTGCTCCTCTGTCGCCACATGGCGCTGCTCTGCGTGGGCATGTCTGACGTCGATTTGCTGCGCTGCGCCGATCCAAAAGTCAAAAATTGTTCGTATGCTATTATTAGCCTAAAACGCAAAGCCATAGAAATGTTAGAAAATTCATCACGTTAAATACAAATATAGTTTGCGTAAGAGAAACAGGCTAAGAGCTATTTAGTTTTTGTAGACTTTAATTTTATAGTACGTTGAAGTCTGCTTTGAGTTCGAAATTCTTAAGGTTTCCTATCATTTGTTAGTATCAAATTGTCTCTGATTCTTGCAGGCTGATTGGGTAAATGTTGAGTTTTCTTTATGTTAGTGCTGAGCGAAAGTGAGTTAAATCAAAGTGAATTAAAGCTATGGAATATTGAAGTATTTTGCTGACTTTAAATGAAAAGTTTCTAATTTTCTTGTCAAACTATTGACAAAATAACGACTTTAAGCTTGGATAAAATTTAATTAATTTGCATGAAAAATGTATCTTCTTAGGAGGCTGAAGTTAAAGAACGATTCTAAACTTAAAGTTTAAATTAAAGATTTTTCCTTTGCAAATTTTCATGAGAACTGAGCCAGATTATTGGCAATATATATATTATACATATAATTTTAAGTCATCATATATTTAATAATCAATTGTCGTTGATAAATATGAAATTTCATACAGAAATATTGCATACTTTAAGGAATGATTTAACAGACAAAGAAACTTAGCAAGACTATTTTACTATTGCATATACAAATGTAATACTGAGACTACTCAGTTGTAATAAAGTTCTTAGTCTATGTATTCCAATCATACTCTTACAGCACTCAGACGCAGCTGCTTATCAAGCTTCTAAATCTGCTAATCTAAATTAAAAAGTTTAATTAATTTTCAATTTATTTTATGGCTCAGACTTAGCTTAAGCTGCTTAAATGCCCTGTTTTAAATAAAATGTTTAACAACACAAACAAATTGAATGTCGAGTAAATAAATGTTATTTGAAGCAGGCAAGCAACAAATGAGTAGATGTTGCTAGTGTCAGAGCAATGATAATTGCAACACGTGACTTGTTTACACCCATCCAAAGTAAATAGTCGGACATTTGTAGTCATATTTGTTGCGCTTGGTGTTTGTGTCTGTCGTATCAGTGTTGATAATTGCGAAGCCTCCACATGCAAGCCGGCATATTTTTTATATATTTTCATATTTTTATAATCGATGCAACCTGATACGTATACGTAATGTGTGTACGTATACTTATTATATCTGTGAGCTGTTTGAATTGCAATTGCCGCTGTTGTTTACAGCTAGCCCAAACGATATTCAAGTCGGCTTGTCTGAATAGCAAGCAACTGATATGCGGACCACAGCGTCATCAATCGGCGTGAATCAATTGGGCGGCTGCTATTGATAAGCGTACTATGAACCCGATAAGCAGCGCCAACTGAAGACAGCCGGCGTGAAAATCCAGGAAATGCGAACCAAATTACTTTTCACACTGCAATCTTATCGATGGGTCACAGGTTCACAAACCATATTTCCTTCAAAATTCACACGTAACGTGCCTGCCCCGAACAATTATCACACAATGCAATTTATTCAGATATATTTCTATATATATCTATATATATATATAACGTATTTCAGTGGCTTGCTCTGCTCTGTGATATTTTGCCATAATTGAGTCTATCAATTGACCCCGATGTGCGCTATGGTTGGGTCTTTGACACTTACCGTTCTGCCATACCCAACGACTATATATAAAAAAGAAAAACTCGCATATCTATATAGAGAGAGAGAGAGCGTCAGCGCGTTGATGAATGCATTCATATTGTCATGTATTAAAAAAAAGCTACTTGCCGGCAATTTGTAGGCTTTTAGTGGGTATTTTGTAGTTGACATGAGTTTGGCTGCCAGAGAAGAGGAAGGTATACATATTTATATATATATTATGTATTTTATATATGCCAAATATTCTAAATTTGATCAGTCAGTAGTCGATTTCGTCTGTAACACATAAAGTTACACTAGCATCTTTCTTTCTTTGACACTTATAATTTAATTAATAAACTACAAGATAGACTAAAATTCTGAAAAAATTTGTAGAAAACTATATCGAAATATGATTTTTATTTTAATTATTTATATATTTTTAGAACTAGGGCACCTTATGTTTCATAGCTTCCACAGCAACCACAAGTAGAACTCAAAAAGAAATTTTAAAGTAGAGTATTTAGTGTTCGATGTGTTGGAAATTTATTCTTTTTGATTGACATTTATTAAGAATAATTTGAATGCTTTTTGAATAAGCGAATATTTCTTTATTCATATACTCTTCCACACTTTCGAGAGATAGAGAGCGTAAAACATGTTTTTCAGTGCATTTAATTTTTACTTTTAATGTGAATTTAACTTAATTCAAATCAAGATCAACGCTCAAAAAATAAAATGACATGCATGTCATGTTCCCCTCTATATATATAAATATATGGGGCCATATGTTGACTAAATTTGATGAAAAGAGTCGAAGCCTTTGCATGGGATAATTGCTTTCAATTAGGCTCGTGTTTCTTCTTTTCCCACTGAGTGGCAATTCGCGCTCTGCGGCAAGCATCAAGAATTTCAGTCATTATTAAATTAAGCATGTGATATTCCACTTTAATAACAAATCCAATCATTAAACGACAATGTGATTCGAGTGCGAAGGAAATGAGTTGTAAATGTCATCAAATGGTTCACGAAAAACAGCGCGAATTAACATCTGTGAGCTTTGCATGCAATGAAATTGTAACATTTGATAGATGATTGATGAACAGATGCGCCCTACTTCATATAAAGCTAGACTGATCTATAAGGATCTCCAGTGCATTTAGCGTAATTGTCACAAATGTAGCTGGAATGATTTTGTAATTTGCTCGCTGATTAGTGAGTGATCTCTAATAAATATAAATTCCAGTTCTGTTTGAGCTATATGAAATAAAATATATGTATGTCTGCAGCTGATCTGATTTGCTCTGATCTATTGCTATACTTTGTAGTTTTAAGAGTTACATATGTAACTGAAATGAGTTAATTTTTTAATTGCTCTGCTGATCAGCAACGTTTATAATAATAAACTAGAGGCTAGCTCTGATCAACTGGTTCCAGATTAATGTTTATAGTATATTAACTGAAATAGTTTGCCACTTTTAAATGTCAATTAAAAATAAGGCAAGGCTTCAAATATTATTTATTATACGATTATCTAGCAAGCCTCTATGAAACACATTCAGCTCTCAATCTGTTTAGGTCTGTGAAGTCTCGAAGGCTTATCTAAAGCTGCGAATAATTCTGAATAATTTTGCTACTTTAACACTGCACAAATATTTCGTAATAATTTTTTTTAACTTTTGTATTTGAACTAATTTATTTTACTGAAAAAAATGCAAGTTAAAAAAGATTCAAAATTTACAACAAAATAATTCACTGAGTCAAGGAAATCTTTTTGACAAGCAAAGCAAACAAATCTTGTTGACTAGTGTTATTTTAAAGAGTGTTTACAAGCAAGGCGATGCAACAGAAATGTTTTGTTTATTGTATATAAATATACAGCCCTTTAGTATGTAGTTAAAACAAGAGAGTTAATCACGCTAGTTATTCATTAATTACTTGAGCTTATACGTCAATGGGAACTCTTTGTATTTCCATTGATCAAAACACAATGAGTATGAAACTGAGAATGGAGAATGGGAAACAGAGAACTTATTGCCTTAAATACCCTGAATATTTATAAACAGATCGGAACAGATGGAAACTCGATATGCTCAGTAGATACATATCTATATAAGAGAGTGAGAAGTATTACAAGTGCAGCTTAGTCTTAAATGATTCCTATTCATTATTATTCTTATTGATATTCAGACTGAGATTCAAATACAGCTGACCGCAAAACTTGGCATTGTGGCATAGACTTGAGTCGAAAAAAGATTTGTGGCAACAACGCAATTGGCATTTGTTGCTATGCTTGTAAGCAATATAACACATATATAAATATATATAGTTAAATATACATATGTATTTACTATATATCACTTGATTCCCACTGCAGCTGCATCCCGCCTCTTAAGAGATGCCAGCGTACATTGCTTCCTGACCTATGCAATTGAATTTATTCGTATTTTTAGCAGTCACTAAATGTTCATTAAATGCAACAGCTCTGAGCGTTGAGCGTTGAGCGTCGAGCGCCTAGCGTCGAGTGCCGAGCTCTCTCTAAATATTTATTTACTCTAATACATTTCCCTTTTTTTGGCACGTGTGACAAACAGCGATTAGAAAAGCACTCAAGTGTGTTGACAGTTGTCATTAATTGGTTTTTAATTGGCTGAATCATGGAAAAGGGTTCTGTCGAGCTGAATCAGAGCTAAAGTCTGTCCAGCAGCTGCAGATCCTAACTTATGTTGGGCAAGCAAAGCGGCTGCTTTTAACTTTTACTTTTCAATTTGCCGTTCTTTGTCTTGCCCTATCGACAGCCAGATTAGCAGCTCGAGTACTTGCTACCCACATATGCATGAGTGTTTATATGAGTGTACCTATAAGACTGGTCATTGTCCAGCGTCTGTAATCTTGAAAGTCTGCGTGCGATTAAACAATGCGCTTTCTTTTCTTTACAGTCTATTTTTCTGTTTCTTTTTTTTTTTTTGTATGGAAAACAGCTGGCAATTTCGTATGTAATCCTTTACTCAGCTGAACTTTCTGTTTGCTTAACAATAACTCACTTTTGCAGCTTGTCCACACGTTCTAAGGCTCTAAGGATGCGCGGGCCACGATGACGATACGCGACAGAAGCCGAACGTAAGGAGCGAAACAAGGGATATGAATGAATGTGAAATGCGAACGCGACTGCGACAGCGACTGCGACTGCTAAATAAATTGCGCTTGAGTACCGTTACTCGCCAATGCTTGATTACGACTGTGCGCAGCCCTCTCTGGCGGACGGGCAACTAACGGGGCTGGCGTTGGCGCTGCCTCGACTTTGACTACGGCGTTTGTGTTCTTACTATAAGCAGCTCGGACGGGCGGCTGCTGCTGCTGCTGATGAATGTTTGCCTCTACACATACATATATAAATGTGTGTGTTTGTGCGCTAGCGTTAATTTGCGCTTCACTTATTTCTATATGATTGTCATTGAAATTTAAATTGAAATGCATTAAAAATCAAGCCAGTGCTTGCACAACTGTAATGCATGAGCTGTTCGTTCGAGTGCCACTCAAACTGTAGCTTGAAATCAGTATCAGGAAAAACCGACACAGCTTCACACAGTTTTACAAAGCAGTTTTGCCTGCAGCAGTGCTATTTAAACTGTGTTTTCATTTCACATTTATTTTGTTCCACGGCCTGTGAATCTTTAAAAGTACAGTACAAATTGCAATTGCATTGCAATCATTTCTGCTCTGGCAATCTGGAGCAATAGTAGAAGGCGTTATCAAGAGAACGCCCCAAACGCAAACACTTTACATGCATACTGTAGAGTCAGTCAGTTCGGGTTGAACTGAGCTTAAAAACTATAACAACGAAATAACTTATATGTGCTTTAATTCTCTTATTATTTAAAAAATTATAAGTTTTGAGTGCATTTCGTATTTGAAGGGTGTATGTGGAAAAGTAAACAAATCATAAATTCAAGCGATATTGATAACAAATTGTCCAGGCCTTATCAATGCGGCTAATCGTTGTGATTAGCACTAAACGTATCAACGCATACATATATTTACACATACATACCTACATGCATATGTACGTAGCTATTACGTTTGGAATGTAAGTAGTCCGCGGGTGTAGAGCAATCGTGGATATCGCTCGACAGTTGAGACAATACATTCAGACAGACTTAACATAAAATTGGCACCTGCTGAGGCAATAAAACAATCAAATGTCGTTACACTAGTTGAGTTCACTTATTGGATTATGCGACCAGAGCATGGTGACCAAATGTCGTGTCTATATGGATTACGGGTACCACTGATTAGTGGCAAATGGCGCCAAAGCCGAGCGTGCTGTACGTTGTCCGACTGCGATTATGCTAGACTGTGGCAAATAGTTCACGTTCGCCTTTGCAGCGAACTGTGAACGACAACTAACTGTAAGTAGGACACTAGAGCTTGTCTCTGTCGCACTTTTAACGGTTGCGGTTTTTGTTTTTAAAACTTTGCTGCGTTACTGGCTGTTGTTGTATATTTTCAACTGCTTGTTTGCACTGCTTGTTGTTGATAGTCCGAGCAGAGCTTTTATATGTGTTGGCAATGCCTTGGCAGAGAGCTCGTTACATTTGAAAATTGCTGACACGAGAAAATATTGAAATCTGTGGCAAAACTTATTTAATATTATTAATATTAAATATTAAATATTGCATCTTTATTTATTTGAAAAAATATAAGTTTATAAATAAACAGCTTACTTATGTATACTTATGTACTCTAATATTTTTTTATACGCTTTAATAATATATGAAATTTCGTGACTCGCATTTTAGTTACGGCAGAAATAGTTAATTTTTGAAATTTTCTTTGAATGTTACATTTTTTCATTCCAGTTTGCTTATGGCTGCAGCTGCTAGAATAACTCTCAGGAAATCTCTAAAAGATCTAAAATGAAATTCGCTTTTGCATTTTGTTTGGTTTGTGGCCTGTTTGCAATTACTTTGGGTCACAAGCAACACGGTAAGAATCGTTATTAATGTAAGGTATTAGCCACGGATGTTGGACTTCATTTTAGCTATTTGTCAGCTTCGACCGGCTGACAGAGGAACGTGCGAATTGGTTCGTAATATGTGGACTTATTATGCGAAAACCAACGAGTGCCAAATGTTTCCCTATAACGGATGCGCTGGGAATGCCAATAGGTTCCCAACACTGGAGATATGCGAAGACATTTGTGTGATTCGAACGTAATTCAGTAGGTTTTCAACACGATCCTTGTTGGCGCATAAATTGTCCATGAATCAAAATAGAAATTTACGTTAAGAAAACAAATTATTGAATATTTCTGATAACAAGTTCTTTTAATAATATTGATATTACAAAGATTCTTACATCCAGTTACATATAGTCCGTATTATTCGTAGTTCCAAAGTCTTCGACGTGATGAGTGGAGCGAAACTGTATCAGTATAATGAGGTAGCATGTAGCGGCACCAGTTATCTGTCGACCAAAGCTAGAAATAAGTCACTGCAAAATGATGGACTTTAAAATGCAGACAAACCGTAAATATAAGCGTACGATCCAAGCGAAACAATCCAGCGGCGGTGAACTTGACCTTACGATGGGACAGCTGCAGGGAGAGACGGAACAGACGATCCCTCAACTCCAGATCGTCGGTTATGTTGAGAATCTTGTGAACAATTGCAGCACTGCAGCTGCTATGCCGGATGGTGCTGCTGCTGGCCTCGACGATCAGAAATATGATCACTATGTACCAGATCATTTGGGTCAGGAAGAAGGCAAAGAACTCATCGGCCTCAAAGTAGTCCAAGCGCTTCGGATTCAACAGCGCCTCCAGTATGTAAAAGTCATCGAACAGTATGAACAAGAAAGATATGGCAATGATGCCCAGCAGCGGATAGGTGAAGTACTCCTCGATGGTATGGCAGATGTCGCACAGCAAGTTGTGTATGTTGGCCACCTGCTTGATGGCGTACTCCGGATTCTGGCGTATAATCGAGGTAACACTGTACCTCTGCATGGGTGTGCTGATCAAGTTGCGCAGCCGATGAGCATAGCGATGATTGTTCACCACCGAATGCATTGGCGACAGCTCCAAAGCGCTGTTCAGCTCAATATGGCCATTCAGAATGTCCTGCAGAATCTACGAAAATGTGGCAAAACTTTATTAATTTATTAGTTTGTAACTTTCGCATGCTATAAATGTTTTCTTAATCAGCATTGAGAAAGCCATAAATTGAAGCTTGAAATCTGTGTAAATATTTTCTTAACTGTCCATTTCCTTAGACTCGCTTATGAAGTGAGAAGAGTAGATCGTATATATATATATATATATATATATGTATATAAGTACATAGTTCTGGCATTGATTGCGACACACTTTAAATGATTCGCATTTTAGTTACGACTGAAATTGCCAATTTTTGAAATTTTCTTTTAATATTCGATATATTTTCATTTCAGTTTGACACCTGCGACTGCTGCAACTCTCTAAAATTATCTAAACTAACTGCAAAATGAAATTGGCTATTGCATCTTACTTGACCTTTAGCTTATTTGAAATTGTTTTTGGCCGCGAAAAGGTTAGGCACGGTAAGTATTGTGATAAGAAGACTCATTAGCCACTGATTTTGGACTTTATTTTAGCTTATTGCCTGCTTGAACCTGCCGTTAGGGGTGGCTGCAATGAGGTGCAGAATTTGTGGACATTTTATTCCGAAGAAAATGAGTGTCGATTGTTTCCGTTTAACGGATGCTTTGGGAATTCCAATCAGTTCCAGACACTGGAAATATGCGAAGACCGTTGTATGTCTCCCAAAAGAAAATCAATAACTGAAAAACCTGCATCTGCGGTTTTCTTATGAGTATACACAGAATAAATTCAAAATACAAAGAATATAATAAAAAGGTGGTAATTAATCTGTATATATATATATAGTCAATTCTGTGAACACACATGTTTGTGTGTTTGTGTGTGTGTGTGTGGGAGTGACTTTTTTCTATATGATATTGAAATTTGAATTGCAATGCATTAGATATTAAGTCAGTGCTTGCACAACTGTAAGGCATAAGCAGTTCAAACTGCTTGAATACTAAGTCTTTCAATAGTTCTATAATATGCCTAAGCTAAATAAAATAGTTGTCACTCAGACCAGAAGCATTCCCATACATATTCCTTTAAATATGACGAAGCACTCCTTTGGGATAACTTAGTCGCCTATTTAATACTCACCTCATTCACCATACTGAAACGACTTTGGGCCAAGTGGGTGGTGCATAGGAACTTGAAGACCATTAGGCTGATATTGATGTGGGGCAGAGCGAATGCCATGAAGGTGACAAAGGATGGTGAAATGGTGGCGCTGACCAGCAGTCCATAGCTGACGCACATATAGACAACGTTGAAGATCACAATACCCATGGAGATGAGAAAGGTGAAGAGCAGAATACGTCGATAGTCCAGCTTCATGCCAAGACGCACAAAGATCTCGTCGACGATAATATTATTTTGTATAATGCTGACCAATCGCTGGCGCTTAAACATGGCGAATCCGAAGATTGTGCACATGGCAATGATGCCAGTTAAGCGCAATGTGCCATCGCCCAGCTTGGTGATGTTCGTCTGGAAGAAGTAGCCGATGATGGAGTCGCCTTCTCGTATAGATGCCACAAAGCACAGCACAAAGAACAAGAAGTGCACAATGCCAGCAATGAAGGAATACGATGATGTGTGCACCTCCTTGTCCGCGTTGAGGTTCAGTTGGAACGGTGCCAGTCCCACCAGCGATATGTACGTGAGCGGACGTAGCGATTGGAATACATTATCCGCCTGTGACATGCGTTGCAGGACCTTCAAAACCATATTTAATCCAAGTCGCGAATTCACGTTTGTTCGTCTCGCACGCTCGCCGCCAACTGACTGCGAAAATGTTGTACGTTGTCAGGTCAGGTCATATGTCGGCATCGTTAGCGCACCTGGGACAGAAGTCGTTTGGACAACTGGACAATTGGACGGCTTAATAAGCTAATATCAATAGCGGTAAATATTTAATTACGCTTAAATGCGTAGCATAGCGTACGGGGCTGCGTAGCAAGTGCAACAAGTTATTTACTAGATGTATACAAGTACAGGTGTGTGTGTGTGTGTGTGTAGGTATCTACTAGAGGCCATGCCAAACTTCATGACAGAAATTGTGCAAACAATTATGTGGGTGGCCTCAATGTATTAGGTATACGAAAAGTGTTTCTACGTTTTAATCTATGTTTTGATTCCCATTTAGAATTGATTTTATGGTCTTTTTTTTAAATTTATATACACATATATTTTATATTTTTTTTTAAGCTTATACAAAATTTTGTTAAAGAACAAATTATCGAGCTTTAGTTAATGGATTGAGATTTGAAGCATTTTCTGTATTCAAAAATATTTCCTTCAATTTTACGCCTAGCAAAAATCTTAAAAGTTTGGCATTTTTTATTTAGCAAACTATTTAAGATGACAAATTGAGGATTTCGATTGAATTCAAAGTTGGTTAAAAAGTGCTTAACATTTTTCGAGTGGGAAAGGATTTGTTGCTTTTAAATTATTATTTTTTTATATACATATTTTATTCTATCTTTGCACAAACTTTCATTTTAGTTTATCAACGAATTATTTGAAGTAACATTTTTTATTATTTATTATTATTAATTTTTTATATTTTTTTTTATTTTATAATTAATATATTTAATTGAACGAACAGGGATATTCAATCTGTGCTACATTTTGTTGTTATAGAAAGTAGCTGTCGCCATGGGTTAGCTTTATCTAAAACTCTCAGAGTATAAGTAAAATTCAATAAACATACGAATAGCTGGCATAAACACAATGCTGAAAATAAATATTTTTTATGATAATAAAAACATTCTATATAAAAACTTGTAACAAATATCTGAAAAAGTATTTTGCCTTAGGCATACCTAAACACATCATCAGCTTTTTAATAATTTTATATATATATATATATATATATATATATATATATATTTCTTTTTTTTTTTTTTAATTTATGAATTTTGATTTACACAAATTTTCATGCCAAACTTTGTACAAAAAAGTATCAATATATCTGCCCCTGTTTGGTTCAGTTAAAGCTACGACGCAATCATATAAATTATGCCTTTGCTGCTAAATGACATTCAATTAGCTCAATAAATTTCTCAGTTTATTGCTAATAATAAATAGATCTATGAAAAATACATTGAGAAGACATGCAAAAGCAACAACATCGAATTAAACCGCTTAATTATTGCCCCAAAAAACCGTTGGACGTAACATCGATAAATATTTTCACCAGCTCCAGATTCAGCTCTACAAACTGCTCTCCATAGCTCCACTAAACTGTGTGATTCGATATATTATGATACGCCTCACAGCAGTCGAATCCATTCTCATTGCTGGGCGAATTAGATGTGAATTGGAGTAAAATAATGAGATACGTGGTCAAAGCGCCGCTGATCTGAAAAAATGAGAAAATAAGGAGAATAATAATTAATGTTTCATAAATCAGTTTTGAAGGGGATCATTTAAAAATATAATTCATTAAATTATCCAAATGCATTGGCTTTAGAGAAGAGGCCATGTCATCATAGGGAGATCAACCATAACTCAATTTTATAGAGCATATACCTATACCTACACCTATACATATAACTCTTAATAAAGATCAAGCTGCTTGTTTCACTCACCGTAAAGTAGAGAGTACGATCAATATTAAAGAGTCCAGCGGCTGTAAAGTTGATCTTCAGATGCATCAATTGCATGGAGAACTGTTGCAGCTTGTCTCTCACTTCTACGCACTTGGTTTTGTTGAGCAGCGAGTGCACAATGGCGCCAGTTTTTTCGCTCTTTTTTATAGCCCTATTGCTGCCCTCGACAATGGAGACGATCGCTATCAAATACAATATCATTTGGCATGAGAAGAATGTCACGAATTCGACGGTCTTAAATTTGCTCTCGCGCTTCGATTTGCCCAGCAGCGTTTCGAGCACGTAGTAAGCATCAAAGACGATGATCAAGAAGGCAATCGAAATGATCGTGAGTAGTTGATAGGTAAAGTATTTGTTTGCCGTGGCAGCTGCCTCACAGATCAAGTGATGTATCTCCATAGACTCCTGTATGATCTCAGACGGATCCTTGGTTACAATCGTGTACATCGAGAAGGAGTCCAAGCACTGCAGTGAGCGTTGCTTCTGGACGGCCTTAATGCTGCGCGTGTCCCACTGATGAGCCAAGTTCTTAAGCACCTGAAAGTATAGCAAAGGAAAAGAGTTAGCTAGAGTAAGGAGTTGATTCAAAGTAAGAAACACCTCATTCAATGCACTAAGATAGATGCGTAGCTTGATCAATAGTCCACTGATCAGTATGCTCACAATGCAAACTATGAAATTGGGGGAGAAATAGCTTAAAATCGAAGAGTAGGAGACGTATGGACTTTCGAGCGGGAAAACCCAGATGAAGCTATAGATCGCAAAGCTTAGCAGCGTGAAGAATAGAAATGCCGACGAGCCAATGATTTCTCTGGTCGCTTGATTCTGTTCAAAGCTAACGCCAACGCGTGGAAATGCCTCCTGCTCCAAGCCGTCGTAGATTGCCAGCAGCTGCATCAAGTCCTGGCATCTCAGTATCGACGCAACTATTACTATCACAACCCCTGCCATGCCGTTGAATATCTCCAGATCGCCCGTGAACTTGGATACGTTTGTCAATGAGAAGCTGATCATCAGCGAGCGGCGCTCTAAGCTGCTGTAGATAAAGTTCGCCGGGTAGAATATCAGTCGTAGAATCGCGCTGACCAGGCCAAAATAGGAGAGCCTCAACCGAGCCTCAGAGCTGTCCACATAGTAAGGCATAATTCCACAAAACAGAGCCAGGAAGAATATCACACGGTAGCAGCCGTAGACATTAACCGGGTGCACGAGTCTATCCAAGCAGCTCGGCAGACACATGGCGTATGAGCAACGAGTGCTATAATGAGTTCAAGTTGCTTTATTACACAATTTCTAGATTTAGATTGCGTCTAATTAATGGAAATGTCAAATAGAGCTAATCATTAGAGTCTATAATGCATAGCCTCACTTTGCTTATATACAAAAGAGTAAAGAAATGGAAAATAAATTACGTATATAAGAAAGAAAATCGAATTGTAATCATTAGAATATATTTCTAGTTCCGAAACCCCAGTCGAAATCAGAAAAGTTCTATCTAAAAGAAGTGTCTTTCCCGCTTACCTTATTCAATGCATCAAAATGTTGCCAGCACCGATGCAGAATAGCTCCGAAGAGCAGGACAATGCTCAGCAGGAATACCTGAGGCACATAGAAGGCAACGGCCACTGTGTAGGTGGGCCTCACATCATTAGAGAGCAGCATGTACAGGGAGCTGGTCAGATAGGCGAACTGCACGCCAGACATGAGGAAAAGCTTTGTATGCCGCAGGCTCATAATTCGGCCGTAATTAAAGCAAATGCCCACGTTGAGCAGGTGATCGTCGATGCCGGCTATCATATCGCAAAGACGTATCAGAAGTCGCACGCGCAGGCCACAGCACAGGAAGAGGGTGAACATGCCGGTCATGCCAATGAACTTCTGCAGGGAGTCGCCCACCTGAGAGATGGGTGAGTTGAAGAAGTAGCCTACAATGCTCTGCTGCTGGACGAGGGCAGCCAGAAAGCAATAGCCAAAGAAGGCCAGCTGAAGCAGGGCATTCAGATAGCCCAGACGACAAAGTTCAAAGTGTCGCATCGCCTGGCCTCTTAGCCGGAAGGGCGTCAGACCCAGCAGATAGGTGAACAGGAGCAGCGTTTGCTCAGCGCCATAGGCGTCGCGTGGACTGAGCAGTTGCCTCCAAATTGGCCACATGTCGGCGAAAAGTTAAAACTGATTTGGACAGCGGATGCAATGCACCTTTTATACAGACTGCAAGTTAGTTGTTCACATTACTTATTGATAGAGCTAAAAGCCTTGAACTTCGTCTAGTCCGAATTGAGGTGCTGTCAGGTCTGGCGTAATGGGAAACCTGTCGCACTTTCATTCCATTTCATGACACTTCCATATTGTTTGTTTTTGTTATGAAATTATAAAGTGAGCGCCAGAAAGGTGGAGGAAGCGTTTATGGCCCGCAACTTGCGTGGGTTGAGTTAATTAATTTAATTGAATTTTTGTCCTGTGCCAATAATTGGCTGGCATTAACTAGAGTATGGCACTAGGTACTATATATTATAGCTCAAGTATATATATATATCTATATATATCTATGTTGCACTCCAAACATAGTATGAATGTAGCTTTAAGTACGCATTGAAACATGCAATACTTTTATGTTCTTTGTAATTATGCCCATGGGTCATATCAATACTGTCGCGAAACGAGATGTTAACACTGATAAATAATATGAAAATCGGTCAGTCTGAATATGACATGTATAAAGCATTTTTAATAGCTGTTCAAGTTCAAGTATTCCCTAGACCTGAATAATGACGTGTATAAATACCAGTTTTAGGGAAACCCATTATGTTAAATGTGACTGTTTAAGTTTACACAGAATTTTCTGTTCTATTTAAAATTTAAAAATATTATTTAAAAATACCCATAACATGATATGGATAATGTAGTTTGTATAATGAAATGTTCTGAGAGAACATTAAAAAAGTTTTCTAAATTGAATTTAAGCAAAATATCTAATGCTATGTGATTTAGTTTATTTAAACATAAAATTTCTATAAAAATCATTTAAAATTTCTTGACATTTATTATAAAATATATTAAAAAAACTATATATTTTTAGCTAAATTTTTTTGTAATTAATTTGTTCTTTTCATTTTACTCAATTTTTATTTATATTTTTTCATTTATTACTTATTAAAAATTATTTTTAAATATGTCTTCTTAAGATTTTTTAGTGTATTTATTGCGGGTACTAGAATAGTCTAAATTTCTATAGCAATTCTAGATAAATAAACCTCTCGAATGTTTTTATAACTAATAACTGATAGAAGCTCTTACCAAATATTCTCTGGCTACTCTAATACATTAATTGAAGTCTTCTGCTTACCTTATTAACCATAACGAATCGCATTTCTACCAGATATGTGAAGCAAGAGAACATGGTGATGGCAATCGCAATGACCGTGTGCTGGACCATAAAAGTGAAATGCAATGCCCAAGTGGGCTGCACTTTGGATGAGTAGAGCACTGCAAAGGTGCCCCAGGAGAAGCCAAAGTTAACGAGCATCATTGAGATCATGACGGCATAGCTGTACCGCAGCACCTTGCTGTACATAATCTTGATGCCAACGCTATGCAGCTGCAGGTCCATGGTATGAAACTTCTGCAGGCACTGCTCTAGCCGATGCTTGGGTATAATGGCTGTCAGATAGATGACAGTGACGCCAATGAAGCCGCTCACGATTTGCATCATGTCGCCGAAGTAAGTGATGCGAGAGCGAAAGAAATAACTGGCGACGGACTCGCAATTGTTGCGAATGGTCAGAATGTAGCAAACGGCGTAGAGCCCGATATGGACAATGCCATTTAGATAACCAAACCAAGATTTCTTGATGTCCCTGCGGCCAGTTTTGCCATCGCAGCTGATGTAAAACGATGTCAGTCCATGCAAATAGGTCACATGGAAGAGTGGACGCAGACTTTCGTACAGCTGCTTGGCGGAGAGCCAGCGACGCACGCGACGCTTCAGCGGATGTTGCAGCATAGTATTCAGTTCGATTTCCACACTAATATCCTTTTTGGTGTCCATGCTGCCCTATTTGCCGCGGTCTGCACAGCTGGAGCTTTACGCGTCAACTAAACGCAAGAAACGCGAAAAAATTTGCATGTTGCCGGGCGCCGGCGTCCGGACCGGACCCTGTTTTAATGAGGTGGGGCCACAATTCATTCATTTCATTCTTGTTGGCTTTAAGTAAATAATTTTAGCATTTTTATGCCGCGTGTCAACGAGTGCGAATACGAATACGAATACGAATAGGAACACGAATACTAATACGAATATGAATACGAATACGAATAGGTGAGCGCAAACGAATATGCGAGCATGAGTCTGAGCGCTATTAGCTTAAACTGTTCTATTTAATTAATGGCCATTTACAGGTGACTGGGAGTCGTTCCCAAGGGGCTCGCTCTCTTTCTACTCAGGAATCTAATTAGTTATACGATTTACCCACATTTCAATAGGCTACAATTTCTTCTCTCTCTGTCCGAATGTCTGTCTGTCCGTCTGTCTGCACTAAATCCCTAGGGGACTTAACTCTTGCTTAATAAACTCCCAATAATAAATTGAAATATTTCCAAAGAATATAGAACACCTGCATAACTGTCTGGCGTCAAAATGAAAGTTGTACAGAATACTTTGAGGGTGTAAACAATATTTCTTATTTTCATTGTCTTATCTTTATCTTCTCATGATTAGGACACAGGCGGACAGACAGAATGTATGTGACTGTAAAGCATATATAATTATGTACGCGTACTTACGAGAGTATTCATAGTAAGTATGCATATTTATTTGTAAACTTATATGTAACTATTTCTGTAATATATATGTACTTATATACATACATAAGTATTCCGATTCGTAAGTACGTCATGTACACATATATTCCTGATTATATGTATGTGTATGCAAATGTATGTCTATAATTTTTAGCTATTGTAAATCAAGTTTGCCTTTATGTGCGATGTAATATAAAATAAATATATTTTTTTGTCCGTCCTCTGCGATTCTCATGAATTCAAGTAAGAGTATACAGTGTTTTCCTTTACATATTTAATATGCTTGGAATTTATTTAACTTCCTCCCTCGCTCAATATTTTTGTGGCTGTCTTTGTCTATCTCTCTCTCTCTGTAGACGTATTCAGCTAATGAACTTTGCGCTTTGATTACAATAATCCAACTTAAATAAATTAAAATATAAAGTAACTCCTTTAGACATAAACATACTAAGAAGAATGAGTATATGCACTCGGTTTCTTTGTTTATATTTTGTTGGCCTCATTTGACTTTGTTAGTGCCTTTTTCTCGTATTAATACTTATTACTAAAACTCAATGATATTTATGGTTTCTCCGAATGAGCTGCAATACGTTCGCAAGAATTTATGTTCATTGGTCTGCGGGAAATTAGCAGAATGGTTTGTTGACACAATATCCATAAAGGGGTGTAGAAGGCGGGAAGGATTTGCAGTTGTTTTCGAGACGACAGAAGCACGTAGAAAGGGTCTTCGTTGTATGGAATTGAACAATATTGTTGTAGTATCATAAAAGCAAGGGAAAAGTAAACAATAGCTCCTGCTTCCGTGTCAATTATGATGCTCATAAAGCTGATGAGAGTAGCAAAAGTTATTCCCACATGTGTTGCTTGTAAATGTTAACAGAATATTAATGCCAATAGTCATGGAAGGGGCTTGTCATTCTTCAATAAATACTCATACTCATATTTTATTGGTAGTAAATGAGTTTGTTTACCTTTTTGGTGTCGATTAGGGATGAGATGATGCTCAATAATATTTATATTTATTTATTTTAATAGGCTTTAAAAGCGCAGACTTTTGAGATCAGGTGGAATTAGAAAAAGTTCAGAGATAATTTTAAATTGGGTTTTGGGTTCTTTAGCTACTTTCACTGCGATCCCTGTAAGTATGTTAAGAAGAATTCAGCTGAAATCCCTGAACTGCAAAATATATGTATAAAATTGTTTGTAGAGTTTTGATTAGTTAAGAAGAAGAGAAAATCATTTACAAAATTCTAAAGCTTAAATATTATTGATTTATATGATATCTATGTTTTATATATATATGTTTTTTTATATATAAAATGTCTACTGTTTCATAACTGCATTGCCTAAGGAAGTTTCATATATTAATAAAGCAAGTTACATTAAGGTTGAGCTACAACAAATGAAGAAGCCATAGAGCAAATTCTTCGAGTCTAGAATCAGTAACTAAAAGACAATTTCCTATGCCCTGGATACCTTGCTAAAAATGCCAAAACAACGAATTTATTCTAATTAACATCCCACGTATGAATTTATATCTATTTAGGTAATCTATCAGAGTTCAAGCCACAAGCAACAGCTTAACAAAAGCGAAGTCAACAAATATTTGAATTAACATAAATTAATTTCACACCTTGTGGCTGAGCAATCAATGTTATTCCCTAAGGGTGAACAGCCGGCAAGAGGTAATGAGTAATAGGTAATAGGTTGGAGGTCTGCACTTGTTTCAGTATTTGCGCAGGCCCTGAGTTAGCCCAGTCCATTGAGCGCGCGTCAATCAGTTTAAGGTAACTTACCTGATTCACAATACTCAAACGTCGCTCGAAACTGAAGGCAATCACGCAGAATAAACAAATAGCAATTGAGACCACCGAGTGCTGCAGGAAGAAGGTCATGCAGACGCAGAAGGAGGGTGTCACGCCCAGGGAGACGAGCAGCCGGAATACGCCCACAAAATAAACGCCCAGAATGAGCAGCTTGAAGACGAGCAACAAGATCGAGTAACGAAAGATCCTGGAGTACTTGACGCGTATGCCGATGTTGGAGAAATTCGTATCGAGACTGTGGAGAATTGTCAACGTGCCCAGAAGCTTGCAGCGCTTCAATATCGCCGACGTGTATATCACAGCGCCCGCAATGAGTCCATTGAAGATCTGCAAACGATCGCCAATTGTTGAAATCTCTGTGCGAAAAAAGTAACCGACAATTGACTCGCCCTGGCGCAGCGACGAGATGTAACAGAAACCGCACAGCACAATGTAAACAAAAATATTGAAGATGCCGAAGCATGACATCTTCAGATACGATTCGCCCATTTTGCGGCGCACGACGTGGAACGGCGTCAGGCCGTAAAGAAAGGTCAGAAAGAAAAGTGGACGCAGTGCCTCGTAGACCTGCGACGATATAAAATACTTTCGCACCCGACGCAACGCCGTGGACATTTTGTATGACAAGCGACAAATGACGAAGACGCACAACCGTTAGCTCCCAAGTGACAAATCGAACTGCAGCCAGGACGACAGTCCGCCCGAGTCGCTTGCTGGCGAAAACAAAAACATATCGCAAAAAAAAGAAAACAGAGAGATAGAAAGAGAGAGCATCACTCACGGAAGTGTAACCGAAGCGAGGGCGTGTGCGAAATGCTCATTATGATGTTCATCATGCAGTCGGCTTTTATTCACTTTCCTAGTTGCCAGAACGTGAGAGGAACTCACAACGCGCGGATTATCGCAGCAGCCCAAGCTCAACAAGTGAGTGTATGCGTGGCCTTGAGGGTGAGCAATGCATAGCATAGTCAAGCAGACGCCGTTGTCTGGCTTTAATTTAGTTGTTAGCATAACTGAGTTCTCGTCTCGGTTTCTGTATTCGAAGATGTTGATTAATGTAGTGGGTGGTCCTTGGCATTGAATAAGTGATACAATGACGTATGCCGTCAGAGAGGACCTTTGTCCGACTCTGCTTTTCGCAGACAACAACCTGCTTGTTACGCATACAATTGCCAAATAATAAGCCTAATGGGCATTATCAGTATATTTGGTATTAATTTAATACTAGATTAAGATAACTCAATCTAGTTAATAATGTTGATTAAGGCATCTGAACTGGCCACTGCTCTAATGGTATATAATAATAATTCGTATAAATAATAAACCAAATTATAAAAAGGTAATAAATTATATGTTCTAAATATAAATATTTATTTTATTTTTTAATATTTGTATCGAATATTTTTAATATATATTTTTATATTTTATATTTGAACTCTGGTATTTCAAGACCTATTTTTTTATTTTTTATATAAAAACATAATAATTTTTTTAATTTAATTTTTTTTAATTAACAAGCAAGCTGCTCTGATATATATTTCTATTTATATATATATATTTAGCTCTCGAATTTCTCTCCTTCACATTTTTATTCAACTTTTTGCCATCTCTAATATCGTTACAGCTGCTGTCACGCATCCGGAACTAGCCTGACACTTTCATGGCCCGCAATTCATTATCAACACATATCCTTGCCACTCTTGACTACACACACACAAACAGTCGCAATCGCAATCGCATGCAGACAGTCACACTCAGCTGCGCCGCTCACGAGGCGTATGCGCAATCTGTAGCTAGCGCTGACAATGGGGGACGGCGTCTCTTGGCCATATGCTGATCAGTTTTTGTTGGTTCGCTGCCTTGTGCGCATGCATAATGTATCACATTTATGGAGCGTGGCATGCTAAACAACTGAATAGTTTATTTTCGATGACATCTGAATGACGCGTTATATAAGCCAGCGGACCGAGCAGGACACCCTTTCGTTTCTTGCGCAAACTCGAAAATTCAATTTAATTATGTCAGCTATGTGGCCGGCCACACATAGATATATCTGCAGGTGCGAATATGCAAAGGCTATTGACCTATTTAGCATTGAGAACTCCCTAAGTATGTTCTGTCATGTGTTACATGAGCTTCTGAGGGACACTTGGAGCTGTTTTTAATTAAAAGAAATTGAGCCTATTTTGGGCTTAAGCAAAGCATTTTCATGAAAGTAAGAAGCAGAAAATTCCACAAAAATGTCTTCAATTTGCTTCTTCTCAGTTAAGTATCTATTAATTTCCACCTGCAAACCACTTACCTTTTGCAATCGCTTGAAACGGCGATGAATCGAACCAGCGAACAAGCAGAACATGCAAATTGTTATCGAAATGGTGATCAGCTCGTACATCATGATAAAGGTCAGCTGATATGAAGGCCGCACCTCCATATTGTCTAGGCAGACGAGGCAGATAATTATGATGGTAGCATCCAGGGCGCTGATCAGCAGCAGCTCCAATAGAACTTGGTACAGAATCTGCCTGTAGCTTACGGGAAAATGTAAGCGGTCCAGGCGCCTATCGATGCGCACCAGTTTCTCCATGGCGTGGCGCAGATGACGGCGCAGAAAAATCGGCATTATGAATATGACGATGCCGACACCGATGCCGATGATGTCGTGAATGCGGGCGCTCATCTGCGAGATATGGTTGCGCATGAAGTAGCCAATTAAAGACTCCTTGTGCATCAGTGTGTACGTGTAGCAAAAGGCGATCAGTAGCCAGCGGCTGATGGCATTGGCAAATCCGTACCATGTTTCGCGCACCACTCGCTCGCCATGGCAACCGCCGCGGCACACGAAATACGGCGTAATGCCCAGCACCAGGCCCAGGCCAATCATTGGCCGTATGCTGTCATAGAAATCCTGAGCATTGAAGATGCGTCGCAAGGCCAAACGCCAGCAACGCGGCGTCCGTGAATCGTGGCGTAACATATTGCTAAGAAGCCCACGGAGTACTAAATAAAAACTGACATGTTCTCTAATTGCTGCATACTTTAGGGAGCTCACGCCTAATCGCCAACTGTCTGCTTTCCGCTTGTTATCAGAGATTAAATATCGCGTATTGTAATCGCATTTAAGTGCTTGGGCAGACTAATTCTCTTACTCTCGCTAGCTGCCTGTCTATCTCCACTGTCGTTGTTTATCAAACGAGCAATGTAATGAATTAAATGTGAATATTGTGTAAATGCATAAGTGAGTTTGTACCTTAATTGTAGCTCTCGCGTTGTTGGAGCATATTAGAGTATTAGAGATAAAATGTGGACATATTTAGAGCTTAAAGACAAATCTTATAATGAATATTTTTTTTTAAATATTTTTAACATTTTAGAAAAATTTCCTTATAATATTTTATATATATATACATATATAATCTAAATTTAAGGTACATTTCTAGTCGACCACTAAATTGATTTCTTCTGCCGCTGGTTTCAATGTTTTTCTTTTATTGTTTCGTTATCATCTGCTTAGCTGGCTTACTAATGACTACCTAACAGCTCAGTGCCTCTTAATTCGATTGAATTCTATTTCAGTTCATAATTGTGCGGCAGTTGAGCAGGTTGTGAAATTTAAACCTCGTGTAGAATTTCCAATCACATATTACCTATATACTGGATTGCTATTGCATACTTTTGGGCGCGCATAGAAATCGATAAAGGCAAAGAGCAATTTAATTGTGCAAATATGATTTAAATTAATTTAAAGAGTTGAGCAAACAACGAAATAGTAATATATTCTTATTAATATAAATTTATATTTAAGTAAAATTTGTTAAATAGCACTCTTTAATCATAAAAAGCAGAGAAAAAATTTTTTAAATTAAATAATTTAATTTTAATAATTCTCAATTTTAATCATTTTTTAAAAAATTTTATAAAAAATATAAAGAAACAAAATTAAATAAGTTCAAATATGTTTTGATTTGTCATCTACTATAATCTATCTATCTTTCTCCTTTTAGTCAACTTTTCAAAGAATAGTTGCAGCGACACTGTGCAGTTGAGTATAGGGTATCTTGGTCTTAGCGACACTGTTTCTTTTCAGAAATTTATAAAACTCATTTCTAAAATAAATCTATTTAATTAATTACTATACTAAAGGTTTGAAACTAAGTGGAAATTGAGTCAGCATGGATTACATATGAATGTTGCTTTTATAAAAAAATACACATTATCTGAGCAATAAATTAAATTTTAAGTTAACATTTCATAGAATGCTAAGTAGGTTTCAGGCAACGCGTAACTCATAGCCAACCAAGCAGATTCAACATGTAGTCATTCGTACTCGATGTCATTGGCATCATCTCCATCTCCAACTCCAACTCCATCTACATCTGCATCTTCTTAATCTACAACTCCAACTGGGCTGCATCTCGAACAATGCCAACGAGATTGCATAATGAGACCAGCTTAATGAGCTGACAGCGTCAGCTGCTTCGTGCATACGAGAAAAACGCAACAAATCATGCGCCTTGCTTAGAATTTTGTCGCACAATTTGCCAGCCATAACAATAACAATAACAATAACGTTAGCAACAACCACAAAAATGGCAGCAACAACGACAACTACAACCTGACATTAACGAGAATTCACAATAAGAGAAGCAGCAGCACTGGAAGGTCTACGTCTATTCTGTGGCCGCAGTTGAGTCTAGTCTGGTTTGGTTTGGCTTGTGGTCTGGTTTTTGCCAGCCACCCATGACAATGGCGCTGTCTCTGCCCTGTTAGGCGCCCAAGATTCCCCCAAGATTCTGGCTCCATAGACAAATCAATGAGGCATGTGGCACATTTATTTTTCTCACACGTGAAGCGTATTTTGTAAGTCGCTTTTTCACTTATGGGACAAGATGCTTGCTGATTCTTTTTATGTGTATTTTCATTTCTGCAAAGATTATAAATATAAATTATAATAATATATACAACATTTAAATATACTTAAGTTACGAGAGAATTAAGTATTCATTAAGGTAGAAATTAGCTTGAATATATTTAAAAAATAATAATAATAAATTTTTGTATTAGAATAATCAATTTTTTTTTTACATTTTGTAAGCTGTGTTTGTTAATTAAGAAATTAAAAAAAATTACTGTCCAATATTTTGTAATTTTATTTGCATTTAAAAAATGTTTTAAAATATTGTCTTTTAAAAGATAATATTTAAAATGCGAAAAATCAGATTTTTTGTTTACAACCCATTTGAGAATTGCTTACTTGATTTTTTAATAACTTAAAAGAAAACAGTGACCTCCTATGAACCTAAATAATAGAGAATATAATTAAATACAGATGCTTTTGGCTATGCTTCATAGATAAGAGTACTCAAAGCGCCACCTGTCGCTCTACATATGCAGTCTGCCCATACAATTTATTGATAACAAAGTGGGCAGGGTATATTGCCATTGATAAGAGTCCGGTTTGAAGGCTTATCGCCACAGCTGACCCGCAAGTTCGGGAGGGGCAAACGAAATTTGATTGTCAATGTAAATCGGATTAGGTTTTGAGCTTGCTCGCCGCCTGTTGTGGCTTAGTTTTCACTTTGGATTCAGATCGGGCGGCTGTACATCAGAAATGTGGCGCACAGGCATTGTACAGCAGGCAAGTCGCCAGGACTTGAGGCGCTTATTGTGCCGCAACAAGAGCAAGAGCCCAGCTTCGGCGCCTCCAGCACTGCCTCAGTCGGCGGATGTGGTGGTCATTGGTGGCGGCTCGGCGGGCTGCCATACGGCTTATCATCTGGCCAAGCGAGGTATAAAGGCTGTGCTGCTGGAGCGTGCACAACTGACAGCGGGCACAACGTGGCACACGGCTGGTCTGCTCTGGCGCCTGCGGCCCAGCGATGTGGACATCCAGCTGCTGGCCAATTCACGGAACATGCTGCGGCAGCTGGAGGCAGAGACAGGACTTGATCCTGGCTGGATACAGAATGGTGGAATCTTCATAGCGCACAATGAGACGCGCTTGGATGAATACCGACGCTTGGCAACTGTTGGCGCAGCGCTGGGCATTGAGAACGAGATACTCACGCCAGAGGAGACACAGAAGCTGTTTCCACTGCTCGATCCGAAGGCCTTCATTGGCGCGCTCTACTCGCCCGGAGATGGCGTCATGGATCCGGCTATGCTCTGCACGGCCTTGAGGCGGGCGGCAACCAACAACGGCGCCCAGGTGATCGAGAACTGTGATGTGCAGGAGATTCTTGTCGAACAGGGTGCACATGGCAAAAAGGTGGTGGGCGTGGCAACGCCTTATGGCAACATACGCACCGATACGGTGGTGAATGCCACTGGCGTGTGGGGTCGCGATCTGGTGGCTCGCCATGGCACTCACCTGCCGCTGCTGCCCATGAAGCATGCGTACATTGTCTCTGAGTCGATCCCGGGCGTTCGCGGTCTGCCCAACATACGAGATCACGATTATTCCACTTACTTCCGCATACAGGGCGATGCCATCTGCATGGGCGGCTACGAGCCGAATCCCATTTTGCTGGAACCGGTGGCGAAAGACTTCCACTTTGGCCTGTACGAGCTGGACTGGTCAGTGTTCGAGACGCATGTGGAGGGTGCACAGAAACTATGCCCCGCCTATGCCAAATACGGCGTGAAGAGCACCGTTTGTGGCCCAGAGTCCTTTACGCCGGATCACAAGCCGCTGATGGGTCCGGATCCAAATGTGTCCGGCCTGATGCACAATTGCGGCTTCAACTCGGCTGGCATGATGTTCGGCGGCGGTTGTGGCGAGCAAACGGCGCTGTGGATCATCAACGGGCAGCCCGATGTGCCCATGTTCAGCTTTGATCTGCGACGCTTCACGCCGGATCAGGGTCGCGCCACCAAGTGGATACAGGAGAAGTCGCACGAGAGCTACGTGAAGAACTATAGCATGGTTTTCAAGTACGATCAGCCGCTCGCTGGCCGCGACTTCCAAAAGGATCCACTGCATGACGAGATGCTGCAGTGCAACGCCTTCATGGAGGAGAAACAGGGCTGGGAACGTCCTGGCTTTTTCCTGGGCTCCAGCGTAGAGTCTGCTGCAGTGTTGCCCTATGACTGGTACGGCAGCTACGATTATCCCCGGCACAAAGACAGCAGCTACGAGCGGGTCCTGGAAGGCGATCTGAAGTACAACAGCTTCTCCGAGCATCACGACCTGGTAAATTACGTTTCAAATTAAAATAAAAAATAATCAAATAATAAAAAGATTTCTGCCAACAGATTGGAGCTGAAGCACACGCCTGTCGCAACAATGCGGTTGTCTTCAACATGAGCTACTTCGCTAAGCTGCTGCTGCAAGGACCACAGGCTCAGAAGGCCGCAGACTGGCTTTTCGCTGCCAACACCAATCGCGATCCCACCAAGTGAGTAGATAGTGAATTGAATGAAAAGAGTGAATTAATTAACATTTTTTATAAATAATAAGGAAATAATTCGAAATCTATTTACCTCTCCCGCTTAGAACTGTCTACACTTGCGCGCTCAACGATGCTGGCGGCGTCGAGGCGGATGTTACAATCAGTCGTTTGGCATCTGGATCGGGTCAAGTGCACGACCCCAAGTTCGAGGGTCAGGGCTACTACATTGTGGCCGGCGGAGCATCTGCCTATTACACCTACAGCACGCTGCGCAGCGAGATACGACGCAAGGGTTTCGATGCCAAGCTGACTGATATCACAGCTGATCTGGGCGTCATATCCATACAGGGCCCAAAGAGCAGGCAGATTCTGCAGCCGCTGCTTGACTGCGATCTCTCTGATGAGCATGTGGCGCCCAATAGCACTCGCCTGGCCACACTCAACGGCATTGGACTGCGCCTGCTGCGCGTCAGCTTTGTGGGTGAGCTGGGCTATGAGCTCCATGTGCCCAAGAAGGATTGTGTGACGGTGTACAAAGCGCTAATGTCGGCTGGCAAGTCGCAGGACTTACGCAACGCTGGCTATCGGTCGCTGTATTCCCTCAGCAGCGAGAAGGGCTATCATCTGTGGAGCTTCGATCTGCGCTCCGACGATACGCCCTTGGAGGCTGGCCTGGGCTTCACTTGCCGCAAGACGGGCGACTATCGCGGCCGTGCCGCAGTGGAGCTCCAGCGCGCCGAGGGCGTTAAGAAGCGACTGGTTTACTTGACCCTGCAGCAGCAGGTGCCTATTTGGGGTCTCGAGGGCGTCTATCGCAATGGTGAGCCTGTGGGCGTGCTGCGCCGAGCCGAGTATGCATACACGCTTGGCAAATCTCTGGGCCAGGCTTATATATCACGCGCAGATGGACAAAAGGTAGATGCGGATTATTTGAAATCCGGTGACTATGAAGTGGATATACTGGGCAAACGCTACAAGGCAGATTGCCATTTGCGCAGTCCATTCGATCCCACTGGGCAACGTGTACTGGGTAACTACGAGGCGAAATAAAGCTTGAATAAAACTAAAATAAATTGAAAAAAGTGCATTTTTCTAGCTGTGTGAAGGCTCAAGACAATAGTCGGGATAAATATACTAAAAATATAATAATATATTATTTTTTAACCATCTTTTTGCCATCAAATAAAATCCAATATTTGTTGGCAAATGTATTTTATGTCGCGAGTCTAAAAACTTATTGAAGCTAATACAAATATTTGGTAGTTTTTTCTTAATGGGAAAATTGTTCCATCAACAATAGTCCCAAGAGAGCTATATGCAAATTCTTATTTGGTATTTAAAGAGGTAATAAACCCATTTAATATAATTTGTTGACACCAAAGAGATATTTATGCCCCTTCATCAGATTGCTTATAGTTCTTGCATATTATTTCTGCTAACCATTTGATCAGCTCACAATAAATAGTATCTCCAGCGTCACTTAATCCGAACTTGACTTCAATTAAGACTATATCAGCTGAGCTATCTTTGAGACGTGAACAAATTAGAAAACCAAGGCTGCTTGAAATTATTTTAAATATTTTAAATAATATGAAATATATTTTTTTTTATAGATTTGTTATGGCTTTTCGGGCAAATAATAAGCAAAATATTTATCTAAATATATCTCTTTATAAATATAACACAATAAAGGCAAGATGAAGGCTCTTCACATAGAGCGTTTGCAGTTTCTGCGTGGTTTGAATAGTTTCATGAGGTACGAATTGGCGGAGTAAATTTCCTTGAAAACTGCTGAATTCTATTTTTGTTTGCTAGCTTTATTTTTTATATATATATTTTTTTATTTTTGATTCGATTCAGGGCCATTAGAAAATGTTTGGATTAACTTGAGGTGGGCAACAATTAAATTTTTTACCGTTTCGAAATGTTCGTACTTTTCGTACGGAATTAATGGCCGATGATAATGGTTTGGGTTTTGGTTTCTGTTTCAGTTACAGAATCTTCGCGTCAGTCACTGGGTTATGGCTAAGAGGTTGCCACAGCCAGAGCCGCATCTGCATAGAGACAAGTTAATTAGCTCTCTCAAGAGCCGCAGACACCACAGACCAAGTTAATTATGGGGCCATATAACATAATTTGTTATTATTGTAATTTATCATTGTTTACGCTTTGTGCGCGCACTTCTTGAAGATTCTGCCGCTAAACGAACGGCCTTGCGGTGCGCGAGATGAGGTGAACTGAGGTGAGGAGAGCTGAGGCGGGCAGATATATCAGCGCCGAAAGACAGTCGTAATGCCAATTAAATGACAACACATTTCTTTGACAAAGCCCAATTTTCAAATGTTACATAAACTGAACGCAGCAATGAGCCAAAGAGCAAAAGGCAATTAAAAATTGTCGTGCTTAATGACGAGAGATGCCAAATGGCTGATTAAACGCAAGCCAGGCGCAATGTGGGCTGCGCGAGAGAAAAGTGAAAAGCAGCCTACACACTGAGCGACATAAGTATGTAAACATAAACAAAAGTATATTTGTATATATATCAAGATTTACTTGGCATATTTATGTGTGCGTGAGGCCTCGAGCTGGCTTCATGGTAAGCTGCTTTAATATCAGCCAACTTTGTTAGCTCTCAATTCGAAATTGCCTTCATTGCCAGCATTGCCTGGCGGGGGTCATTTGTGGCCCCAAATCTAATTGCAGCCATAGTCATGGATCGGGCGCTTGGCATCTTTTATCTTTTGTCCATAGCGGAGTTTGCAAGTCAGCGTGTTGAGGCACTTGAAGTCGCCCCAGACACTTCAAGTTCAAGTTCAGCCTGCGCCACTCATTAAGTCAATCGAACGAACGACTGCAATTTGGCAATGTTCACACTTAATGGATTCACACATCTGCCAAATGGGCTGGTTTGGCTGAGACTGCGGCTGCATAAATAACTTGAACAAATGCGCTCAAAGTCAAGCTGCACAGCAGCAGTTTATGATTTCGATTTCGATTGCCACTTCAAGCGACATTATGAGTTGCAATTAAAATTAATTTACTCAATGACCTTCGCTCGCTTCAAATGCATTTGAAGATGCGCTCTGAGACTGCCCGAGTGCGTGTGAGGATGCGCTTTTGCCTTGTCGTCGTGAACTTGAATTGAAATTGAAAGTTGATCTTCAATTAATTCGATATTGCAATTATAGCAATGAGCTAAGCATAAAACACCTGCTGACAGCACATAAACATGCAAAATTCATGCAAACGCATTAACACAACATTAATCAAAATAACATTAGTTTAGGCGCTACTACGCATATTTATGCTACAATTAAGCCAAACGCAAAAGCAATAAAAATTTAATTTTTTTGATTTTTCCTTTTTCTCTTATTTTGGTTGTTTTCTCATATTTTTGACCAACAACTTGTGGCTAATGATGAGCACGTTGTGCCGGAAGCAATAGCGCTTCATTGATATTTCTGACATTATTGACACAGTTTTGTACCCCCCTGCAGCTCACGCAACCGGGTTCGCATTACATAAGTGAAATGTAAATAAAAAAAAATGTTGATAAATTGCGAGAGGTTTTTTATTTTTTGTATGCCGCCAAGGGGCACAACAAAGGAGAAAAAAATAAATAAATAAATAAGTAAATCGATAATCATTTGTTCAAACAAAACGCGTAACGGCATCAAAAATTTTGCATTTTTTTATTTCAAATACATTGTCATTCATTTTTTCACCGACAATTTGCCTAGTCAAGCCACAGGCCAAACAAAAGACTCAGGCAACAAACTTGTTTCGAGGAGCAACTCGCCTGCATACATGTTGCACGAATCGCTGCTTGGCCATTGCAGCTCAAACCTAACACCGTGACACACTTATGCGAGTGTGCATGAGTGTACGTGTGTGAGTGAGTGTGAGGTGTAATTTATTGTCGATTTGCTGGCCCATAACTCAATTAACAATGAGATGTCCAACTGGAGTTTGAGAGAAAATCGCATTTGGTTGAATCTGCTCGAGTCGCTGGAACTGTTTGTAGGCATACCCATACACACACATACATTCGCACACACCCATACACACATAGATAGATGCGTCAAGCGCGGTTTGAGCCATGTTCGAACGGCAACCGCAGCGTTGTCGTTGTCGTTGCTGGCTTTGGCCTGACGTGCACCTTATTTTCGTTTTGTTTTTCATTTTTGCTTTTGTTTTTTTGTTTTGTTTTGTTTTTTTTTTTTGTTTTGGGGACAAGCTATAAACCGTGGCAAGATCGTCGTTGCGTTCAGTTGGTAAAAGTGAAGCGTTGCGTGCGGTTGTCTCTCTCCACACTAATAAAACAATTACAAGTACATCAAATATTCATTCTCGCTCGCTGACTCGTTTGTGTTGCTTACATCGTACATATATAGTATATAGGAATATATATACGTATATACACAAGGTGATTATCTACGCATATCCTGCCAGGATATTGCTCAGAAAAACTGTTCATCTGTGCCTTGCTCTGACTTTGTGTAGTGTATTACCAAGTGCAAGTTTTCGGCTAAAATAAGCTTGAATTAGTTGAATGGCAAATGGGTTCAGAAACAAAAAGGCTGGGCTTTGTGGTGTGGAATTCATTTGTTATATAGAAGAGTACAAAAATATGTATTATTTATTTATTAAATCTTAATTAAAGTTTATGAAAGGTTTTTCAATTTCAATTTCAATTGCGGGCTACGAAATATATATTTAAATAGATAATTTTAAATTGTTAACAGCTTAGAAAAGTTCGAAATTAGGTTGGCATGTGTTAAATATTAAATAAATTTTCTAAAATATATTTAATATATTAAATTATGGAATCTTTCGCTAAAATGGTAAAAGTCCTAAAAGATAGATTGACAACGGTACATAAAATGAAAACTCTGTATTAATAAGCATCTGATCAGCTGCAAGCTTAGATAAATACATTGTAGAATACAAATCCTTTTATGACACGATATATATATAATATATAAGAATATATTATATAAAATATTTTAAATATATAAAATTATAAAATTATATAATATATAATATATATACAATTAAATATTTAATAGAGATCTAAACCAAATATAAAAATTTGAAAAAAAAAAATAAATAAAATTGCAAGATAAACGTTTATATAAATTAAGAACAATGAGAAAACAAACATAGCATAGATCAGGAAAAATATAATAGATAGCTAGTTGCTAGAAAACGAACTGAAATTCAATATTTTTAATATTATATTAAGAATATTTATCTACTTGCTTTCTTTTTTATGTCAAACAATTTTTCTTAAACTTTTACAAAAATAATGCTACTCCAAATAAGAAACAATCTGGTAAATCCCAATTATTTTCTAAGTATTATTCTAACTACTAAGCTTTAGCCTTCTACCATGATTGTGCTGAAGCTCGAATACAAATTCAGCTGCACTTATTGAGCTACTTGAGGTTCCATATTTACAGAGCTCTTTATCTGACAGCAATTAACCTGCCCTAGTTTTGCTTAAAACGCTGCGAGAACGGCCCACACCCATATACATATACACACACACACAAATGTAGGCCTGTGTATTGCTACCAAATTACATGCATTGAAGCAGAAGATTGCGCAATATGTTTTGTATTTGGCCGCCTCAGTGCAAATGAGCGGAAAATCTAATTTTCCAGCCGCATGCAAATTTTGTTTTATTTTTGGTTTTTCGTTTTATTAGTTTTTGCAATATGCGAAAATGTCAGCCTGCGGTCATGGGAGCTGCTGGCGACTGTTATTGCTACTGCAGCTCGTGGAGGTCGTAAAACATAAAACATAAAATAAATTCATGATGCTTTATGGCATTCAGGCGACAAACAGATAACAGTTAAAACTCACTTGACAAATACCCAAAAATATATACATATTTAACAATCTTTTGTTGCTGCTGTTGTTGTTGTTGCATTGCAAATAGCACAGCTGATGAGCAAGTTTTGGGCATCGTGACCATATAATGCAGCCAATCTACAGAAGACAACAAAATTCCAGTGAAGAAATCGCAAGTCACGTCCCCAGCAAACTCGTAACTGCCAACTGCAATTTCAAGGCTGCCGAATTGACAACAAATAATTTATTTCTGATACAGCCGCGAAAGTCGCAGCAAACAATTGCATTGATCTGCGCACAGACAGACAGACGCCCAGAGGAAAGTTGCCAAAAGTCTAATTTTGTCGCCTCGTAACTGTGGCAAATGTGCTGGAGCCCTTTACAGATGCTGACAAATTGCATTTAACGATTTGGCTTAAATTTCAAATGCGAAAAGCAAGCCATGATCATTAACTGCCGCCAGTCATCGTGCTGCTGCTCGCTCTATTCAGCTACGCTGCGAAATACCTTTCTCTAGGCCTGGCTCAGACAGTTGTCCCAAGAAAAAAATATTTATTCAATTCATTAGCGTTGCGTCAAAAATCTGTCGTGGGCAGCCCAAAATGATTTGCGTCCAGGAGCGTCTTCAGCTCATTGCTTTTTATAGATGTTGTCTTTTTTTTTATGTCATGACCAAAAACTGAAAATATTTTCACTATCATTTCGCGGCATTGTTATTGTTATTTTTATATTTTTTTTTTGCCAGTTACAAACCTGAAGCTGTGCCCGTTGAGCAGTAAAAGTAATGCACCTTGCTTAACCAACCTGACAGCTCCTTTGCTGGCTGCTGACTGCTGGCTGTTGGCTGTTTCATCTGCCCCACTGTCCCACACTGCAGCAGTGTCCAGCTGTCCGGCTTGTCTGGGACGATCACAAACTTGCTCACAGCTCGCAACTGGCTGACTTTCTTCCACAGTCTGTCCAGTTTTTCTACATATTATTTGCGCGACTTTGTTTACCAGAAAGCCTCTTACACTCCTACCACATGCCTCGTACCTCGCTGCTCGCAGCACGCAGCTCACAGCTCGCAACTCGCATCTCGCACCTTGCAGCTGGTACCTGGCCAGTTGAGGCAATTAAAAGCCACAGCCAGCGCATCCGCGTGCAACTTTCTTAACAGTTTATGGCGCATCCTGCTTGGTGCGCAGCCCTTGAGACTCAACAGCTGAGGCGTCTGTGCGAAGTTCTTAATTTCAGCCGCCTCTGTCGTCGTCAAATGACAAATATTGCAACATTGCTCAAAGTACGTTCTCTTCACATGCTTCTAATTGATATGAAAAACAGCAAGCAGCAGCAGCTAGCAAACATACTTAACAATACACACAAAGGCTTGGAGCAGACCTACTTTAAGCCAAGAGACGCCCCAACTGGTTGTCGACAGATACTAGAGGTAGTGTGCCAGTTGCCTGTTGCCAGTTGCCAGTTGCCAGTTGCCAGTTGCCGGTTGTTTGTGGTTAGCAAATCCGTCTTCTTTATAATTGCTGTCATCGGTGCATCAAAAAACTCGTCTCACCTCTGTGTTCTACATTCGAGCGCGATACTAGCCAAACAAACACATAGACCAAGCCAACTGATTTCTCTCCCAACTCAAATGAGATGAAAGATCTGCTTTTACATTGATTTCTAATTAATAAACAGCTTTCATTAACTCGACGCAGAAGTCAATAATGAATGTTAATCAATTTTTATATTTTTTAATTTATTTTTAGTGCACATATTTTATAAGTTTTATTCAGTATAAAATTCTTTGACTTTGAGATTAGAATTTTTATATTTATATATTTTTTAGATATGTTTTTAAACATTTTTATTTTATTGGAAATTTTCACTGCGTTCTGAATACTTTTTTAATATTTTGTATGTTTTTTTTTAATGCTTTTTGCTTTTTTAAAATTTAAATCAATTTTTTATCCACGCATCAAATTCATCAAATAACATATCCATGGTAACTGATTGACTGATCGGTTGACTTAATGTCTGACTTGACTTGAATTAACTGGCCGACGGAATGATTGAATGTTTTGTTAACTAGGCACCGGCTACCGATACAAGGGGTTATGCCCAAGTTGACCTGCCACGTAACGATAAATTGCAGTTTGAGTTTTTTTTGTGAAAATCATGAAACTCTTGAATGGCTGCAAGCTTAACTTTCAATGCAGCTTTTTCATAAATATATATATGTATACATTTTCAAGAAAATTGCTCAACAAACTTGAAATTTCTTGTTTCAAAACTTGAGTAATTAAAAAAAAAGGTAAAAAATAAACAAACATGAATATAATTATATAAAATTTATATGTATATATAATTTTATAAATTACTATATTTTTTGATTATAAAATAAATAACCATAACCTTTAACACTTGCTAATTAAGCTCTCTTAACAAGCATGAAAATAATTAATTATTTTGTTAGCAAACATCGGAAATATCCCAAATAAAAACAGATGCAAACATTGGCTTAAGATATTAGCTGAAAACTCAATCAAATGAAGATATTTGCAGATTTTTCACACACTTAAATATTTTACGACATTTCGATAATTTACCAGCCAAATTAGCAAACTGGTTCAATAAAACGTCGTAGCAATTTATAAAGGAGTCAAAAGCATAGTTTGAATGCCTAAAAAGTCGTGATGCATAAATAAAAATTGCAATCGAAAATAAAAAAGGAAATACTTTAAATTACACAAGTGTGAAAACCAGTTGCGATTAGATGATATTAAAGACATGAATGCAAAAAGTGCATAAGCTGAAGATTAATTGTCGCGTATGGATAAATACACACACATATATATATATATATATATATATATATATATATATATAAATATATTTATAGAGTGGGTCTTCAGCTGTGAGGCAATGACAGAGGGAATGCAGCTGCATGGACGGGCCAAATGCCAATATGGCATGGCATGGCATAACTTAACATACACACACACACTGCGCACAACAAATATTGGAATGTTGCACAGATGTTCAAGTTAATAGCGAAAAATTAAAAAAATATTAAACATTCAATTTGTTGTCTTTCAATTTATTTGGCGATCGAACATGCTTTGAAGGTTGATTTGCCTTTTTTTGTTTTTGTCATTTTTACGAGCTGAAGCAGCTCCACACTTGATATTAGTCACAGTAAGTGTCTTGGTGGGCGGGCACATATGAAATGCCTTTCTCCACGCAATTAACAAGTGCCCTAAAAAATACCCAAAAAAAAGAGACGAACAAAAAATTGAAATATTCAATTATTGCATAACAATTTATAAGCGTTAACAAATTTCAAAGACAATTCCAATTGGCCCCTTCAAATACCCAAAAAAGACAGCCCACAATTGTATTCGAATTTGGTTTCGATTTTTGTTTGTTGTTTTTTCTTTCGTCTTACCCACGACAATTAGCCCGGCCAAGACGTGTACAATGCACATAGGAAGCGCAAATGAGGCAACGGAAATTTGAATTACAAAATTTACAAGCCGTGAAAATGCTAAAAAAAACATACAAAATAAATGTATAAAAAAAAGTTGCAGACAATTGTGCGTGGCACAAAATGTAAAAAGCAAAAAATAAAACCAAAACAAAACGAAACCAAAGTCGTTAGCTCTGTTATCAGACGGAAGAGTCAAGTTGGACAGTTGAATATTCAGCCAACTGTGTGTTATATATGGCCTAACAACAACAACAACAGCAGAGCAAGCCAACAGCAATGCAACTTTCTCCATTAAAGCCAAGAAAAAATAAAGTATTGCTTGGTATGCAAAGACAGACGGTGTCAGAGCTAGAAAACGGTCGGGCTTGGCATGTGCCCTGCCTCAGAGAGCTGGCTCTGTGCTCTGTACTCAGTTCTCTTGTAGCTTAGTGTAAGAGTTGTGCTGTTGAGTGCTTTATTGAGCTAGGTCAGTTTTCATTTGTGGAGCTAGAGCTGAAATTGGGTAAAGGTCAAGAGTTTATGAGGAAAGTAAGTGAAGTTATTTGAAATTATTAACAGACAAGAGTCGAGTGTTTACAGTGGGTCAGAGTTTTATATTTATATTATTAAAGCACCTCTCAGTTATTTCTATCAGATCTTGTCAAATGCAATTTCACACTCTCTAATCAATGTAATTTCAAGGTCAATTGGCATTGTTCCCAGTTATTAGCATTGCCTTAGCGTAGCTCCTGCTTCTTTGGCCAATTAATTTGCCTAACAAATGTTAAACAAAAACTGTTTGAGCCGGAGCTAATTGTAATAAACATATTTATATAAGACCATCGACAGATGCAATTTTGATGAGTCTGAGAGGTGGCGCAGCTGCCATCAATAGACCATAAAATTTGCATACAATTTTGCCTGGCTTAAGCCATAACTTATAATAGATAAAAGCATAAAACAATCAGCTAATTTGCATGCACAGTTATTAAAACAAATCGAAATACAATCAGACTTAGATTGTTGCCAAGCAGAACTTAGCGTCTGCTTATAGAATTCTCTTGATTACGAATGGATGGGTGGATGGAGGAGGGAGGGCGATTGCAAGGCCGTTACAAATTGAAATGGAAAAAACTACTCAATTAGGCGAATTGAACAAGTTGAACAATTGCCAGCGACAAATTCCATATAGAAAGCCAAACAAAACACACAGTCAAAATCGGTCAAAATCCGACAGATTCCTATTGAGTGATCGGTCTGGTATTTCCAATCACTGATTTCGCATAAAAAGATGTCGACTCATCCAAGCGGAAATGGAAATGGGTTGGGCACCATTTTGGCATTTTGGGCGTTGGGTCACTCGGCAAATACTCAAAACAGCAAGCGAAAAAACTTGAAATCGAAACCTAAAATAATCTAAATCGAAACTGAAAACAGTTTCAAATCGCGCCTAATCGAAGTACCTTTGGCTTTTTTTGTGCTTGCAGCTTTATTTTCCTCGTCGATTTTACACCGAGCCAAGCCCACTGCGAAATGTTTGTGCTGCGCACGTTGCTGCTGGTGGCAGTGAGCGCCACCGTGGCGCTGGCCCAGCGTCGTCTGGCGCTGCCTGATCCGCGCAGCTGCGCCAATCGTGTCCGACATGCCACCTACCGAGATGCCAGAGGCGTCTCGCACTCATACTTCTTCAGCTGGGAGCATGCGCCGACGCGCAGCCTGGAGGTGGACTGGCTGGATGCACGTAACATTTGCCGGCGGCACTGCATGGACGCCGTTTCACTAGAGACGCCCCAGGAGAATGACTTTGTGAAGCAGCGCATTGCGCGTGGCAATGTCCGCTACATCTGGACCTCGGGTAGAAAGTGCAACTTTGCTGGCTGCGATAGGCCTGATCTGCAGCCGCCCAATGAGAACGGCTGGTTCTGGTCCGGCTCTGGCGGCAAAATTGGACCCACTTCGCAGCGCAACACTGGCGACTGGTCGCAAACGGGTGGCTACAATCAGCCACAGCCGGATAACCGCGAGGCGGCCCAGGGCAACGACGAGAGCTGCCTGTCCATTCTGAATAACTTCTACAACGATGGCATCAAGTGGCACGATGTCGCCTGCCATCACATCAAGCCCTTCGTCTGCGAGGACTCCGACGAGCTGCTCAACTTTGTGCGCTCCCGAAATCCCAATGTGCGTTTGTAATTCTAAAATGTAAAACTTAAATTAAGCCTACAAGGAAAAAACAAAAGAGAAAACATATTTATGTAGCATTAAACGGAGCATTGTCTGATTCGACTGTTTGTCTGATTGATCGTATGCTCTACCAGCGCTTTTGGCCAATTCCGTTCTTATTTTTTTTTTAAATGGTTTTGTTCGCAACAAATTCTTTAGCAAAAAATTTGAATAACATTTCCGTGTTGATACGCGCATGAAAAACAAAATTGTTAAATAATTTTAAAAACAAATTGTTAATAAATATACAAATTGAAGCTGATAACAAATAGTTCAATGCCTTTTTATTAAGCGGAAGCGGAATCTATTAAGAATTCTTTTTTAAAATATGACATATTTCCATATTTCAAATAAGTCGCATAAAGACTTTGCTTAAAGCGAAACGCTTATAATTCCGTTTGAGACATAGATGGCGCTACAAAAAGCGCACTGCTCGCTTTTGACGTGTCTTCATGTGGCTTTATATGGCTCTGGCAAGTTGAAATCTGCTTTGGGATCGTTCAGTTGAACAACAAAAGTAGCACTAGGATGCCTTAGTTTTTAAATCGAAAATTTCCCATAGTAGCTGCCGAAATTCCGTCATTTGAATCACATCAATAGTTTCTTAACACTCATACAGTTTTACACATTAAAGTATAAATAATAAATTAATAGATTAGTTACTATCTACTGTCCAATTATAACTGACTACACCCATTTGAAGATAAGTTTCGGACATAGTAATGCAGTCCAATAAAATGGGAAGTAAAGCCGAAACGAAACAGTCCATTCCAAATCTTTATGAGTCCGATGGCGAGGGCGAATCATCACTGAATCCTTACGCTCTGGAGTTTATACCGTCGTATATGAAGTGTGGTAAGATCGATAATAGCAAGCATTCGAGTAACCAAAAGACGAAAACCGAGGCCACCTCAACCACCACACTGGTCCAGCGTGAAGTCGTCGGCGATGCATCCTATTTGCAGGCCCAGAGGCAGCTGTTCGAGCTGCTTCACCAGCTGGGAGATAAGTTCATGCCACTCAAAGCGATCAACCTGAGCCTTGCTGTCGATGGGCAAGGCGTTAATGTTCAGTTCAAGGCCGATATTGGCGTGCCCGGCAAGCAGATGCTTGACGAGAGCCTCTGCCAGGATGCAGCCCTTCATTTGGAGATAAGCGACTGCTCCTTAATACCACGAAGACTGCCTAATGTGCTGGCCGCCAATTTTATGGTGCGCATGGGCGATGTCCTTAATGATAAGATGGAATGGAACGAAGACTCCATGTGCTCAGCCCGTACATCAATTGCTCTACAGCCAATGGATGAGAAGTATTTGGATGCTAGGTCATCGATGGGGAGCAAACATTCGATCGAGAGCAAATTATCCATGGAGAGCAAGCGCAAGTCTTGCTCAAGTTCCACTATCAGAGACATCAATGCTGCCCAACAATCAGTGGGCACTGCAGTATCCAAGGAATCAATGCCCAAAAAAACGAAGCAGCAGCCGGAACCAATCCTTAAAAATGGTGTTCGTCCCACTCTCGCCAGACCAACTATCGCCAGCAAGATGCACGTTAGTGCTCCATCTGAAAATTGGAAAAATGTTAAGATAGCCAGTCCCAAGGTTGAGACACGTGCAAAATCTATGTATGTTATGCAGGAGCCCAAGTTCGAGTATGTATGCTAACTATCATCAACTAGCATCTCAACTAGATGTTATATATGCATGTACTTTCAGGAAAAAATCGAATAAGGGCATACATACACCTCGACAAAGTTTAGGGCAAATCATCAAAAAAGGTTTGACTGGTGGCCAAAAATTCGTGCCACGAAGCACGCATACATCCCAAATGCGCCAAACACAGGTGCAAAAGGTAATCGAATAATACCGATTTAACAATTAAATTATTTATTCGCGAACATTTGCAGCGCTTGAGCCTCATGAAAGCGACCGACAATTAGAATCTGATTAAAATTCACTATATTAACGCATTATATATAAATATATATATATGCAAATAACAGAGGGAGACATGGAACTAAGGGACCAGTAAATTAATTCTTTTAATTTTACAGAACAGTCGTGACTTCAGATCAGGACTTATAGTTCGTAAGCTAATGATTTGTCGTATGTAAAAGAAATATTATTTAATTACCCAACACTGGTTAAGACCAACCAAGTAAAAAAATAAAATAAGAAATAATAAGCCAATTTGTTTTGATGTTTAACAAGTATTTTATTATTATTATTATTATTCGATTTCACTAGAAAATGCATGTAAATATATATATATATATTTAGATTCATGTTGTTTAAATACTTTGGTAAGTTCTGCTTCAGCTTCTGCTTCTGCTTCTGGAACTTAGGTCTAGGCGTAATCGTATCGTAGGTTTACATATATATTTCTTGTTCTGGCAGAGCTGCATAACTATCGATTGTATACTGGTAAATGAAGAGTTTTGAAACGATACATTGATTTATATTCAAGCTAAGTATTGCGATTTCCAATTTATATATATATATATAAATATATATATATATATAGGTATAAATATATTCCACAGCTTTGCAGCTCTTATTAGGTATAGTTAGTTGTGTTTACTATAATTTCATTATCAAACAATTTTTAATCGAAGACACGGCAGATTTAATCTAATAAAGGATCTGAGGGAGCTTAATAAACAGGAAGTACGTTTGGGTATTTAAATGTATATCAAGGGTTTTCTTTCTCTAGTCATGCTTCTCACTGGAAATTGTAAAAATAAGCTATGAATAAAAATTATAAAAAAAAAAACCAAAAATTGAATAGAAAAAAATTTACAATGGTTAAGACATTCTTAGATGTATGTACAAATATGCATTTACTTAAAATTTAATAACAATTAAAGGTCGACTCTCGGTATGCTAATCGCATTTATGAACTTAACAAGTGTTTGGTCAACTGGCCGAAAAATTAGTTACAATTTCGTTTGTCTGTGTGTAGATGTGTGCGTGTTGATATATATATATTTCGTTTTTATATAAATATATGCGTATGTAGTATATGTAGATCTTTATGCTGTATATATGATGTTTGTGTGGGGTATATATATGGTATTTGCTGGTTTGCATGGGCTTTAATAAACGGCAAAACCAAAACCTAAAACAGAAAGTAAAATTGAATTAAATGCATGAATTGGCTGACGATTCGATAGGGTTCAAGCAATTAGTACAGGTTATGTTAATTGTTCGTTTGTTTCATTTTTGTTTTAGTATGCCAATTGCTTAGGGTTAGTTTGGTTTTTTTTTAGTAATGAGCTGAATACCTGGACGTTAGTTGCATGGATGCGTGCGTTTAGCATTGTTAAATGAGACACAAACCAGGGGACGGGGCGTATTGCTAAGTTTACTTGCCACAACAACAACGACAACATCAAACATCAAAGGTCAAAGGTGAAAGATCAAACATCATTACAAAAGGAACACCGAACAAGTTTAATGCTACAAATTACGCTTCTACGTCGCTTTGTTAAAACCGTTTTTAGTAGCTGTGCGTATATGTGTGTATTGGTATTGGTATTGGTATTGTTTGGTTTTTATGCTGGTTTTGTTTTAACCGAATTTTTGTTTTGTGTTTGTTTTGAACTTAAGCTGTACTTGAGTTATGTGAGGCCCCACTGATCGCATTGAATAAAGCCATGCTATTGCGCTGGGCTGCTGCGTCGGCATCATCGCTAAGCGGCTGGAATGACTCGTCTTGGAGTAACTCACTGAGGGCTTGACACAGCTTCTCATAGTTCTCCTTGAGCACATGATGGTACTCCTTCTGATCGGCACTGATCATCCGTTCGTTCACGCAGAGTGCTTTGTGGCAGACGCCAATGAAGTCCCTGCAGTTTAAAGAGTTTTAGATTAGTCAAGCTATTTCGTTGTCAGTTAGTATATTGCTGCTCTCTACCGGAATACATCCTTCAGATCCTCAACGCGATCCAGCGAAAAGTTTTTGATCACCTTGGCATCCAGAAAGGCGTGCGCATAGGCTAGGGGGCCCGCATTTACAGTAACTGCTACGCTGCCTTGCAGACGCAACTGCAGCTTCTTGACATCGGCCGGGGGCAAAATGATCTCCTCCAGCTCTGAAACCTTTGATTGCATCTCATCAATGGCCACCTCTATGGGGCTCAGCTCGATGATCTCACGTGATTTGACAGGTATGCGTTTGAGCACATACGGAAACGAATATCGGGCTGCAGGAAGTAAAACATATACATCACTATATCACGAAAAAATGCTTAGCTTTAACCTACTCTTAATGACCGTCTTGCGTTTCCATTGCTCCTCCACGCTGCCGCGTGCTGCACCAGACTTGGTGAAGGGTGTTTCATACATGAATGTATCCACATCGTGATTCTGTTCGAACTCGTTCAGGCGCTGATCGAGCTCGTCTTTGGTGAAAAACGGTATAACATGGGTGACCTGTATGTAGGCTAGCTTGGCATCCAATTCGTCAACTTTTACCTGCAAGCGAACAGAACGTAACGATTCACATAAGAAGCAAAATCAGTCAATGAGAAGTAGCTGAAGCGCCTTTGGGAAAATGAGCAACAGATGGCGTGGCTCTGCCTATAGAAAGCTTAATGGCTTTTTAAAAATAACTTCGGAGAATGAACAATAGATGGCGTAAATCAGCATGATTAAAGCTTAACTTTAAATGTTTGGCTTGCTTGCGGCGTATTTAAGAGAAGATATAACTATATAAATAAAAAAAAAACAAAAATTTCAATCGTTTTGATATATCTGTTCTAGCACCTATGCAATGGAAGCCAATTTAACTAATCGATCACAGTTGCTTGGCATTTTTGAGGCATGGGTTTGGGAATCAAAGCAATATTTGTGTTTCGGCTTACTTCCGCATTACAATATATTCAATCATTTCAAATGTATATCACTAAAATACCCATGTTATAACTAAATAGCACCGTACAAATAGTAAATTGTAACCTCCACAGAGTGCATTAGTACCAAATTTATATTACAGTTAACAATTTAGAATAGCGACAAGCCAATTAGTTAGTAGCTAATATGGACATTGGCAATGAGATGCACCAACAGTTCATCAAGGACTTCATCCAATCGCTGCAGGTGGGTAGCGAGGAAGGCAGCTGCTGCATGAAGAGCAACAGTCGAAGTTTGAGCGAATCATCGCTCAATCCCAATGCTGCTGAGTTTGTGCCATCCTATATGAAAAGCAGCGATGCTGAGGACGACGAGGAGGCGGAACCACAGTATCACCGACAGGAGCCGAAGGCATCTGCCAGCTCGACAACAACACTTGTGAACAATATTCTGGACGGCGATAGCTTGCACATGAACAAAGACGAGACGCTGGGTCGCATTCAACGTCAGCTTTTCAACTTGATGAACCAACTGGGAAACCAAAATATGCCAGTATTACAGATCCAATTCAGCCTCACCACGAATGGCCAGGGCATCTGTGTTCAATTCTTGGCGCCAGAGGGCAACAAGCGGCAGTACCTCGATAAACATCTATGTCAAACTGCCTGTCTTCGTCTCGAAGTTAACGAGAATGGTTCACAGTCGAATCGACCTGGGTTCACCTTAGCCAGACAATTTCTGATTCGTATGGGCGATGCTCTTAACGACAAGACCCAAGAAAACTCATTGTCTGTATGCCCCAAGTGCACGGCTTTAACGAAAAAGCACAGCTTCACCGAGATGGAAATAGATCGACAGATTGAGGATATTAAGGCATTTGAGACACTTATAAATGAGGATGCCGGCGCACGCTATCAGGAGGCATTTAAGCAACTTTGTCAGAAACTCGGGTTAAACAAAAACGACGATCAGCCAACAGAAATTGGGCCAGCGGCAGTCGTAGTTCCACAGGCAGTCAACCAGACCAAGAATGATGTGTCCGAAAATATTGAATTGCCATTCCATGAGGACGATCTATCAAGCTACGAATGGGATCCGTTCATGCCAGAGTTTACGACAATGAAGGTCTACAGATACCCGACTCCTAATACCCCAGAATTGCGAGTTACAGAGAAGAAGGTTCCTAAAGAGGAGCTGGCGGTAAAAGCTGACTATGAACTGAAGACGCCAATGCTGCCACGGCGCGCGTGTTCTACTCCGGGCAATGCGTCTTCAGCCTATCCCAAACTGTACAAGGTTAACAACCATGTCAAATGGAGCAGTTCGCCAGGAGTTCGCAAGGTCATTACCCACAAGGACAAGGAGAGCAAGATACAGCGATGGCGCTACAGTTCACCAGTAGTAGTGGCTACGCCAAGTGGTACGTCAGCATCAGCAGCAATAACAACTGCACCTGCAGCAACAACTGTAACAGTAACATCAGCATCAGCATCAGCAGCAGCGGGAGGAACCACAACAACAACAGCTGCTGCTCCAGCATCAACATCTGCTGCACCAGCATCAAAATCTGCTGCTCCAGCATCAACATCTGCTGCAACAGGATTAGCGGCCAAGAAGACGTCAGAGCAAGCCCATCAAAATGGCAATCGCATCAAACGGGCCTACCAATTCACCGTGCATCCCAAATCTGGCTCTGTCAGCAACGCATCATCCGAGGTGGCGAGCAAGACAACTGCAAAGATCGAGTCACGCTCCCAGCTCGCCACGGCCAAGCAACAAGGAGCCCATGCCCATATGTAAGTAGTCTAGCAATCGTTACTTAAAAGGCTAACAACCTCTGACTGGAGCTCCATTGAAGCAATAGCAGTCATAAACTCAACAAGGCAGATACCTTGAACCGCACAAGCGGCGTAGGACAAGCGCAGGGCACTAAACATAGCACAACAGCAGCAGCTCAACGAATTGTGGTACCACGTAGCACCCATGCCTCCCAGATGCGGCAGTCGGAGGTGAAGCGCGTAAGTTCTCCTTGCGAGCCATAAATTAATACTCACTCACATTGCCCCCTTTTCTCGTTTGCAGCGCCTAAACCTAATGCGGGGTGACAACGACACTGATGTCCAGTTCAATGAGTACCTGTTCAAATGAGCTAGTTCCAATTGTTTTGGTTGTGTTGTTCATATCAGCGTCTGTCCATTGCACAGCAGTCTAATCCTAATTCTAATTCCAATGAGTTGTCAGCAGAAGCAGCTTGATCTTTATCGTATAGTTAGTTTGTTAGCCCTGTCGAAACAACTCTATCTATATCCATAAATATCTATATATTTTATACCTAGCTGAGCGTAAGCTGCAAATTATACGAGATTGTTAAGCATTTAATATAGGGTCAGTGATGATGTTATATATATATATATATGTGTATATATATATATTTGTGTTAGCAAACATCACAATAAAAATTTGTATTTCTGTAAGCGCAATAAATTTGTGCAAATATTTAAAGTCGGCTTTATAAATTCTCTTATATTTTGTAGGCTGCATTTGGAACTAAAGTTCAACAAAATTTCATAAAATTCATGTCGGCAACCATACATTTGCACTCAATAGGAATAAGTGGAAATATTTGTAGTTAAGTTCGAGTTTGTAGAGGAGACTTTCACAAGGTGCTTCCCTATATATAGCAGTTAGAGACTTTGAAATGGCTAGATTATAAATGTTGATTTTTGCCATTTCTAGTATTATTATTTCGCATTCTCTTATACAATATGTAGAAGGTGTATTTTTCCACAAACATTTTATAGAAAAGAACTTAAAAAAATTCAAGTAAAATATTTTCAATTCAAACGATGCTTCAATTGTCAAACAACTATTTTAAATAAATAAAAAATATTTATAATTTGTGTTTTCCTACGTACCGGCGATGAATCCATTATGAGTTTGACTACGTCGGCCCCAAACTTTTCCTTATACTGTTTGGCCAGGCGTTCAGAAATTTCGCTAAGCGAAGTCAGCTTTGGCTCCTTGTACACGAACTCAATTGCGTGATCTTCCTCGAAGTACATCTTAAGCAAAACAAAATAAAAATAGAAGTTAAAGGAACAGGGCATCGTAGGAACATCTCCACTAACCATGCCATAGAAGACCACTCGATAGAAGCGGCCCAACATGCGCTTTCCGGACCGATTCACCTCGACTATTTTATTGTAGGCCTGTGTGAGATGCTCATAGCTCTGGGCCAGCTCTATAAAGTTGCGTGCACGCTCGTAGATGGGCAGGATGAGCTTGTAAAGCTCGCCGAGGCACTCAAAGCGCTCGGCTCGATCTAGGAAGTCGGCGCATTGCTTCAGCTGCTCCAGCAGCATTTGCTCTGTGTACTGCGAATCTTGGGCGCCAGCATCTAGCTTCAGGCCCTGCTCATCCAGCGGAATGTTGCGCGATATCTTGCCAAAGGCTGTCGAGGACCAGTTGAGAGTGCAGCCTCCGCGCAGGCGCAGGTATTCGCACATAAGCGCCGCAATGTGCAAGTGACAGCAGGCGGCCTCCGAGAAGTTGCCATTCTGCTCGTGATTACGGGCCATGGTCACCAGCCAGGTGTGCCGCAGCTCCGGTGTGGAGGCATACGAGTTGGCCAGCGAATATTGCAGTTCGAGCAGGCGTTCGGGATCCATGTGGTGCGCCTGCATTTGCGCCGTGGCCATAAGCACTGTGCGTACACGCCGCGTCAGATCCTTGACCTCTAGGGGAAAACCTGTGCCCTTCATGGCCTTATCACTGTTGGCATAACTGTTGATATTAGACAAGCTCTCCTGGAAGCGCGCATTGTTCAGGCCAATCACATTACCAATCATCTGCGACACAGAGATGATGACTTGGAGATGAACGCGAGTGAGCGCCTTGCGACCACTGAACTCGAAGTTGCTGCGCATCAGCAGATACAGAACAGCGCAGGATTCGTGGCGTATGTCCACCAGCCGGCTGTCGCAGGCCTTCAGCAGCTCATAGACCATTTGGCCACAGAGCATGGCATTGCCCTTGAATAGGGCCATCGAATAGTTGTTGATGAAGGCACGCAGGGCAGCAAATAGATGCTTGGACAAACGCTCAGACTGGCCCAGCTGCAAGAAGCGCAAATAGACGCGCGCCAGCTTGGGCAGCACCAGGCTATCCGCCAGCAGCTGGCGGTATTGCAGCACATAGAGACCGAGGCAGTCCAGTATGATCATGCCCACTTCCGTGGCCAGATTTGATTCATATAGCGCCTGCTGTGATCTGGCACACAAGTCCATATCCTCTAGCAGATGCTCACGCGTCTGGGTGAGAGTGCCAGTGCCAGTGCCAGTGGTTGGCTCTGCGTTGCCATTCTCCAGCACTGGCGGCGTGCTGCGTGCGGGCAGCGTGTTTGCTTTAGCGGGCCTTTGCACTCGAGCTTCACTGCCCATCACAACATTCTTCTTGCCCACGTAGCGAAACTGCAGCAGGCACAAGTCTAAGATTGAGAGGAACTGCAGTGTCTCTGTCTCGTTGCAGCTCTGCCACCAGGCAACCATTTGATCCTGCGACAGATGCTTCACAATGAACAGAAAGCCAAGCAGCAAATCCTTGCTCTCCGCTGCACTAAACTTGTCGAAGCGCGCCAGGATCTGTGCATGGGTCACGCTTACGGATCGATTGTGACCGTTGCGCAGGGCAACATCCGTTTCGCCATTGGTGTAAGCGCCAATTGTTGTGGTGTCCTGTGAGTGCTAGGGCAAAGGAAGCTCAAGGTCAATATACCGTTTAAGTGTAAGGTGTTAACATAACGACAAAGCTTATATAACTGCACTTACGCCTGAATCAGAATTCGAGTTGAGCGACAAATTGGAGATGCCATTGCCAATCGCTGTGCCCGCGATTGCGGCCAAATAGTTGTGATCCTTGATGTGCATGGAGGTGCGACAGGGGCTCGCATGATCAGCGTGAGGTGTGAGACGGTTCTTGGAACGAGGCGTGGAGGTAAGCGAGCCAAAGGTCGAGGAGTCCTTGCTAAAAACATAGCTGCTGGAGCAACTGAGTCGCTTCGTATAGGACGCCGAGTCCGCATACACATGCCCGTTGGGCGTGTTGGCACCTGAGTCGGACAAGTCATCGATGCGCTGCAAGTTGTCCATGACAATGCCCAGCCAGGGCACATACAAGAGTGCTATGCGGCACAGCTGGCCGCGCTGTTGATAGCGTGCATCCAGCTCGTGCTTGGCTAGCAGATCCCTGAAGACCGACAGCGCATGGCGACGCACATGACCCACCTCGTTGAGGCTGCTCTTCAGCTCCTGCAGCAGCAGACCGGAGAGAAAATGCTGGCGACAAAACTGTTCAGAGAGCGTGAAATGCTGCAACAATTCTGGCGGCCGATTCTTGGGATTCAGCACGAACGGCAGATTGAGCGGCACATAGTGCTCATGCTGGCAAATCTCCTGCAGAAAGTTGAACTTGTACTCGTGGAGCACGCGCGGATTGCCAGGCGCAAACTGCTCCATGTAAAAGCGTATCAGCTTGAACACAAATCCACGGTCCATGTAGCTGAGACATTGCCGCACAAAACGCGCCAGCGAACGGTTCAGCAGCTGCGTCTCCTCGCCGAGATCATCGTAACGGGTTGTTATATAGGGTATCAGCGCCTTAACCAACTGCTCCACCCGATCCGAGTACTCCTTGGGAAATCGTTCGTTGCGCAACATGCGAATGCGTCCAGTGGCCAGCAGATGCTGAGCCATGCTCTTCACAATCAAATCGAAGAAGATCGAGGAGTAGCGCATGAACTTGTTCACGATGAGAAAGTCCGTGTTGTTCGGATTGAGCAGGTACGGCAGATGCCGGCACAGCTCTCCGTGAACGGTGCGCAGTCGAGCTGTCTGCTGACTGTAGTAAGGGCCATGGAACACGTACTTCACGTAGGAAGCCAGCAGCTCTGTGCGTTTCGCCTCATCGCTGATCTGGTGTATGATGTTCGTCAGCAAACGTATCACATTTAGCCCGATCTCCTCCGACTGTGTGTGCACCAGCAGCGTGAACAGCTCGTTGAGGAGCGTGGGCAGAAAGTTGATCAGGGAACGCATATCGATTGCGTGCGCCGCCTTGAGGATCTTGCAGGTCTCAGTCTCTGCGGGCAAGGCTCCAGTCTTGCCGCCCTCCAGCAGCCGTTCGCAGTGACCGAAGAAGTTGTGCAAATGTTGATCCGATGTCAGCACTGTAGAGTCCAATCGCAGGCCAACGCTGTATAGAGCACGCTGATTGTCGATCCACTGAATGTCCGGACCGCAGTTCTGCTAAGAAATTGAAAGGGTTTGTAGGCGGCCGAAGGGTGGGGTAGTTACGAATGCAGTGCATGAAGAGAATGTGCGGAAAAGAAAATACAGAGAGCGGGTTTTTGGTTAGGCAAGCAAGGAATGGATGTGGATCAAAAACACAAAACGATGCATGAGTCAATGATCGACGAGCGGCAGCTGGCAGCTGGCAGCTCCAGCTCCAGCTTCAGCAACAACAACAACTTACCCCCTTACCCCAGCCCAACGGCTGTATCGATAGATAACCCACGGGCAGCGTAGCAGCCACGGGCAAGAGCTGTTCCTCCAAACAGATGCGATTCTTCTGCAGCAACGGCAACCAGGCATATCCGATAGGCGTCTCAAAGGACGCGTGTGCATCGCGTTTCTTGCTAAGATTACAGGATACGTGATAGAAGGAGAAGAGTAAATGATGCTCCGGAAATAGACCCAGTGGCAGGCGCAGCTTGATCTCCTCGTACCAAGTGGGCGTGACATTGTGATGCAGCACCGGGCAGGCGATCTGGGAAACCAACAAATCATGACCAGGTCGGCCATAGATGCACTGTAAACCAAGAGGAAATTTGATTAGAAATACCTCAATATTTGAAGGGAATATTTATAAAAGCTTAGAGAAATATATTACCTTTAACGGTTTACTGTACTCGCCATCGCCATCTCTCAGCTCGACGACGACTGTAATATTGCGAGCGCGTGAAAACAATTTTTGACTATCGAATTGAAGGCTCAGGGGATACACATAGAGATGATTACAGAAACTGGTATAGGGATACGCATCACGCTCGGTTTGGCTCTGAAACTCTGAGAGTTCCAGAGTGAGCGGATGCTTGGCGGAGGCACTGAAAGTGGGTAAAGGCGCCAAAGACTTGGTCAAGCCGCAGGGTGCTGCTTGATCTAGCAGCTGCACCTGCAGACGCATAAAACCAGGTATGATGTTCAGCTTGCTGAGTTTTTCGGGCTTGCGGTAGTCGGCCAGCAGCTTGAGCAGCTCCTCATCGCGAAGCTTGGGCAGCTCCTGGCGATAGATGGTGTTGAATTCGCATATGCAATGCGAGTCCACGTCCAGCTCATGGCTGTAGGCCTTGAAGAGAGGGCGAGCGGCCCAGGCAAATGGCTGGCGATAGTGTCCAATGTGCTGGGCACAGTTCTTGGCCGTTTTGTGCACCTTTTGTCCCAGCTTGGGATCACGTGCTGCCTTCAGATATGGCTCAGCTGCTTGGGCAATGCTGCACTGCAGCACCTTCTCAATACGCAGCACCAGATAGATATCCGCATGCGGAGCACTGACCGACAGCATACACTGGCGTAGCTGCTGGAACTGCTGGCGAGGACAGCGCAGCAGCTCCGAAGAAACACCGTCGAATAGCGAATGCGGAGCCTGAGCCGCATTACGCTCGTCGTTCTCCGCACGTCTGGGGACGCCACAGCCCGCCACGGAGGCGGGCACAGGAGTATTGGGCAGCCACTGGGCAGCATTTGGCTCATTTATGTTGAAGTAGAAGTTCTCGCTGAGTTTGCGTCCGGCTTTGGCGTCGTATAGCGCCAAGCTGGTTATGTAGGGCTCCACCTGGCACAGCTGTTCGCCACCTGCGCCATCCGACAAGTCCGCTGATTGGCACTGCAGTCGGAAGCGCAGGCATTGACAGCTGAGCAGGACGCGTGTGCCGAAGTGATCGCGATACTGCTCCACATTATCGTTGGTCACGGCTTTGGCATTGCTCTGGTAGCAGGCGAAGAGACGGCGACGTTGCTCGCGACGCGCCTGCGCTATGGAGTGATCCGTCTCGCGCCCATACTTCATTAGCTGCGGATGTAGGGACTGGTCCAGACCCTTGAGAGTGCCAAACGTGGGTGGTTCCATGGCCGGTGGCTGTAGCTGCGGCGTGGGCGTTGCATTCGCTGCCGGCTGGCGTTCCAATGATGCGTTGCGCTTTTCCTCCTGCGCCTTATTCTGTGCCAGCACTGAGGATAGCTTGGATAGCCAATCCTTAAAGTCCTGCTCGTTCTCGGCGGCCAAAGTGAACGATTTGTGACCAGCTGTCATACGCAGCTCAAAGCAAAATCGACCGCGTTTCGGATTCTGTGAAAGGTAAATTAAGTAAGTAATTGGAATTTACCATCAATATTCGGGACTCACCTGTACCACTTCCGTGCAAAAGTCCATAACAATGGTGGCCTTGGCGTCGCCCTGCTTCTCATCCTTGTACAGTTCGAGCATGTAGGTGCCATCGATCTCCTGACGCAGATAGCAATAGCGACGCTTGAAAGACTTATTGCCAATGTTGGCGAACATGCGATCCGCGGCCGAATCTGGCCCCTTCAATAGATAACCCTGTTTGGTGATGGTGTCCGCCTGGGACCGAGTCATTTGCTCATCGATGCGATCCTGATCAGCATCGATTTCGTATAGCTCCTCCAGCAGCTCCTCGGCAGGCGACGTGCTACAAATTGTGAAATCAAAAAAAACGTTGGGCTCAACTGCTCGCACACTTACCTGGGCAGATCGTGACAGTTGCCGCCATATGCGCTGTACTTATAGTGGATGAGATGATTCTTGGCGCGATACGTGTACAACGCTTGGCGTGTGAAACGCGTGCACTCGGCACGCGAGCCCAGAGCAGTTGAATCTGACACATCGTCGCTAGCAGCTGGCTCCTCGTCCGCATACTCATCGACCTCCTCGGGCTGCGCCAAATGGGAACGCAATGTGTTCGAGGACAGTGCCGATTCATAGGATGACTCCTGCGAAGTCTTACGACTCACCACCGAGCCATTCGAGCATTGTGAACTCTTACGTGACAATTGTCCATTGCCGTTGGACAGACTGCTGGTGCTGCTGTGGCCGTTGTGAAGGCTGCCATTTGACTGCAAGCTGCCTTGCCGGCTCACCTGACAGTGACCATTGCTGCCCAGAACCATGGGCCCATGCAGCGGCGAAACAATGGCTTCATTTGGTGGCTCAAACCGATCTGCCACAGATTTGGCATTGGTGCGCTGCTTGCGCGGCATAACAATCTCCTGTAATAAATATTCATTGCAGTTATACTTTACTGATAAGGAAAATTACCTACTGATTATGAGAAACGATAAAAGTTATTCTATTATTAAATTGCAATATATATGGAAATATGACTTCAGTTGAAGCCAAGTTACATCTGCTTTGCAGTGGGATTTGCCAACTCATTTTTAGATCCACCTTTTCCTTACTTATAACTAAGCACTAAATGCATATTTATCTATTACACTGCTCAGTGGTACGCATCATTGATTTATGATGCCGCATTTCATTCCGGGTTGATCGAAAGTAAAAGTTTTGTGAATCCAAAATGAAATGAATAAATTATTCGTTCAGGCTTTTAGGCTTTGGCCACGCAACTTACCGAGACATCGTCTGCTGGATAGATAAGCAGCTCGCGCTGCGGATCGTTTTGTATGAGTGTTTTATTTTTGGCTATAAAGGCTTCAAAGTCGATCGGCTCCACGACGAGTGGCTTGTTCTGCAATTAGAGAGACAGAGACAGAGAGAGAGGGTGGGTGAGTTGATATTTTGGTTAGATTCTTGTTTGCTTGCTAATTTATGTGTGCCACTTGTAAAAGCAGAGCGCATCTATAAATACATATCTCCCCCAATAACTAAATACTCATGGCTATGCTCATTCCCATTTTCGAATTCATGCAATGCGCGCGCCCAGCTGAATTTATTGAATTGAGGCACGCAATAAATTTATGGCCATTTGCCTATAGCCTCCCGATACCACCCCACGAAATGCTCGGACCTTGACCGCATTACGTAGCGGATGTCGACGTCTCCGTTTGAAATTTTTTTTTTGATATTTTGTTGTGTCTGGCTGCGGCTGCAACTTCTAATGATATGTTCCATGCCATCCACACGCCGGCGTGGGCCGAGCCATTGGCATAAACAAATCGATTTTGTTTAGGCATTTGGCATTTTGCAACGCCCCGCAGCCAATTTAAGAGATCTTATTTTGCGCATTTGAGTTTTAGACTTTTGGCCACGATGACACCATGAAGGTGCGCCTGCAAACTCTACCTGACAAGTGGGCAGCAGGTGGCCCAACCCTTTGTGACATGGCGCCAACTCGAAAGGTTAAGGTGTCATTTCCGGTGTCGCTTACCATTTGACGTGAGCCCAGAGCCTGGGCTTGGCTCTGGTTTCACTTAATGGTGAAATGAGAGCATCGTGTGATGCCAATGCTTCTGACAAGCAAAAGGGTCGGCAGGTCATACGGGTATATAAACATTAGCTATTAGCGATTGTCTTAGGTCAGCAGGGTTTGCTATAACCGGAGAAAGCGTTGAAGGTATATAGAGTAGAGTTGAGTAAAGTCTATCAATATATCATGTAGTAATAATAATATTTAATTTATGATCTACAATTCCTTTGACAAGAAAAGAAATTATAATTTAAAATTATAAGAAGAATTTCGTATGTCATAAGTGAAACTCAACTGAATTGTTAAGTCACAGAAATGTTACGAAAATAACAGAAAATATTGTTTTATTCATATGATATTTTTACAGCTGTTGCCAAAATGGTATTAGCCAGATATCAGAGAAATTTTGAACAAATATGCAAAGCGAGAAGAAAACAGTAGCTATAAAACAGGTTAAAAAAGCTAGCAGAAATCTTAAGAATTTGCATATGATAAAAGTAAAGGTAAGTTTCGATTTCGATGCTATTCTCCATTGAGCAACTCACGTCTATATCTGGTTTCTTATAGCCAAGGCAGCCTGTAGGCTTAGGCGTTCGTGTGAGGAGCTAAATGTCAATGCACTTGTCGCCTGTTCGCGGTGATTGCCTGTCACATGTGAAAAGCAATTCGTTTATAGGCCCAAGTCGCGCATCTGCCTTCTCTTTCACTGCACAGCGGTTCTCTCTTTCACGCCCCCTATCTTTCTCTTTTCAGTCACGCACATGCATGCAAATTGCCTGCGTTCACGTCGTCACTTGCGCAATTAAAGCCCCCGCCTCGAGTCGCTGCCCTCACTCCAAATGTCTGAGCCGGGAGCGACGACAAGTGCATCGGGCATTACGCAAAGCAATTACCAAATCAATTGGGCAGCCAAACTACAACATATGACGGCCATATATGGTATATACCCTGTAATAACGGAACAGTACGAATAGGCTAGCATACCAAGTAGGTTAGCTATTGGAAATGAAATTTGCATTAAGAAAAATTTAAGAAAATCTAAAAAAAAAAACAAAGGAACGATTGCACCAATTTGTCGCTATGCCAACTCTTCTAACTTAATGTTAACAAGCAAAAATATTAAAAATGCAGTTGAATTCTTTAAAAAAAAAACGAACTTCCCCTTACATAAAGCTGAATGGCTGTTGTTTATCTTGGACTGTTCTTAAGGATTTGCTAACTAGTTTTATCGGTAGCATCTTACAGGTTGGCAGCGTGTTGTTAGTTACGCATACGACAGAAACCTTCAAGCAGAGCATGTAAAATGCCATGGGCGTTGCTTAAATGCCAACATCCAACATCCAACATGCCAACAAACTTGTTCATATCAGTCAATATGAGCGCAATCTATCGCTGGATCTGAATACACAGTCCAACACGCAAATTTGTTGTTAAAAAAAGTAAGAAAAGTGGCAGGGAACGCAAACCACAGCGGCTAACCGCAAGAGCAACAGACATTGGTCCAGCTGCCTGACTAGGCGTGAAACCTGAGCATCATCATCATCATCATCGTCATCTTGATCATCGTCATCAGAAAGCAAACGCTATCATCAGACGCTGGATTGGGTTGGAGGCGCCACCACGAAACGTGATGATTTTCTATGCCTGGCCATGCAATTGCAGTGGTGCTGCGGTGGTGCAGCCAAGTGGCATGCGGCTACTTGTCGCTGGTTATGGTTAATGTTCGATGGCTACAGCTATGGTAATGGCAATGACCGAGCCGAAAGGGGCGTTCATTGATTTCGATATGGCAGTAGCGGCATGTAGACATCGCCTTGCCAACCCCAGCCCAGCCCTGGCCATGTCAATGTCTATAAGTGCAGCCCCACAATGTCGCTAAAGCAGAGCAATCCCTCCCCTGTAGAGCTGGGGACGCCCTCCCCTGAACTCCCCATGGCCAGTCAATTTAAATTGCAACAATGCAGCCGCCTTTTCATATAAAAAGATCTTGAGCCGCTTAAATGAGCAATACAAAAGAGCGGCACAAATAGTCGGGGGAAAATTGTATTATTTTCAGTATTTTTTTTTTCATTTTGTTTCGCTTTGAAGTGCATTGGAAACCATTGAAGTGGTCTGCCTTTGGCCATCGCTCCAAAACTGATTTGCATTATGGGTCTATGGAAAAGTTTTGACTAATTTTAGTTTTGCTGCGTGGGGCGAACTTTTGACCCACCATCAAGTGTTCTTTACTTCTATATCACGCAATATCAGCGAGCATGTGCCACTATAAACTATATCTAAAACCATAAAAACAAAATGTTTTTATAGCAGCCCAAATTTCTATTGAATGGCCTAAAGTGATCCACTATAGACATGAAAGTGTTTTGCCATTGGCAAGAGATTTTTTAAAGCTCTAATGGAACTTTCTGATAGAAACCAAAAATATAGAAATACAATACAAAAATATATATAAGATACGTATAAAAAAGATATATATTATAGAAGTATGCTATATTCATTTGAACGTCATTTGAAATATAAAATATAATATACATTATATATGAAATATAATATAAATTATAGGAAGAAAATACATTTTTATCATATGTAGATAAATCATAGACGTAGTTGAACATTAATCATTACTTGAAATGCTAAATTCGTACCATGCTTTGTAATTTATTTGTATTTACTTGATCTACTTCTATTAAAGATCATAAACCTTACCATTTTAGCTTTTAAAATTCAGCTTTTCCAGAGTCTATTTTTAGTTAAACCAAATGCATTCCTACAACTTTTGAAGGCCATTTGAATTTCTAGAATTTAATAAAAAATTTTATGAACAATGCCAGAATTTATATCACCATATTATAGCAGCTTTATCACAAGAGCTCAAGACTCTGCTCTGTCAGCTGATAAGTGTTATGTTATATCCACATTCTATATAAAGTTTGTTTTTAAAAACTTTGTATATAAGCACTATAATTTGACGGGCTTTCTATACTTATCTATCCTTTAAAAAAAATAAAAACATATTTTTAGTTCAAGTAAACAATTTGCATAGATATTTTTTATCTATATTCGCCACATCCGTTGCAGAGCAGTGGAGTCTAAAATAATGCATACGCCTTGTACTCACGTCTATTTTTAGCTGTTACATATTATAAAATTCTTTATATAAAAAATAAAAAAAGGAAGGGTCGCCAGCCTGAGCTGAGAATTCGCATGCGAGCTTGAGCCATACAGAAAGGGCGCAAATTGCGCTGATAAAAGAAATACTTTGCATAGCAATGTCATCATATAATGCACTGGGTTATGGTTATGTGTGTTGTGCTCGGATACTTTTCTTTATTTGTATAAAGTTTCATTTTATCTGCGTCTGTCATTGAGGCCGGTTTCCCAAGTGACGCAGCGGAAAAGGCCACAAAAGGCGCGTTTCGTTTCGTTTTGGTCATCTTCAGGGCAGGTTTTGGTTCAATGAACCCGTCGCAAAAGTCGTATATGTTTATAAATATGTAACTATGAACACGCTAACTGGACTTTAACTTGGGCATAATTTCAATTTGTGACGTCTAGTCAGCAAATATTGAACTGGAACTCGAGCAGATGTGAAACATGTGATATTGTAATCAAAAGTGGGAGAATCGAAATTGGAATTCTCTCTGAGATACATTTATTATATTTATTTATTTATTGCAAAATAGTATGTAAATCGTATGAGTAACTTCTTTGAAGTTTCTTTAAATTGCGCAAATACTAAAAAATCTTGTATATATTTTGGACTCAAGAAATGCATGTAAAAACTGAATACCTGAAAGAGAGAGACCTTCATAGGTTTTACCTGTACTACACAGAACCAGGAAAAGGTATCTGTAAGAGCTACATAAAAAGCTCTTGAATTTCACTTTATGCACCCGCCTCTGAAAACGAACACAAATTATATTTTCTTCATAGTTTCAACCACTTCAATGCGTAACATAATTATAAAAAGCTCTCTAAGGGCATGGGCATCGACAAATTCCACTTGGACTTTTGAAAATCTCTCGCATAAACGAATCGAGACGTTGAATTGACAACGTTGAACTTTCTAAGCTGGCCGACAATTCTATTGACTTGTCTTGAGGCTGAAAGCCGCTATTGTATGTGGAGCTTGGCAAAAAATAATAACAAATTTCACCCAGTCTGGAAGACGGTCTTAAATCTTAAGCCTCAATACAAATTGCCAGATGATTTGTAAGCAAATTTACATGCGCGATTCCACAAATGAGGAAGTTTATCATTAGGCGCACAATTCAAGCCTCGAACACGTTCGATTCAGTAGATGGCTTTTTGTTCATTTGCGC